TGGAGGAAGAAACGGGGGGGGGGGGGGGGGGGGTTCGTTCTGTCGAGCATAGGACGAAAAAGAAAAAGAAATAAAAAAAAGAAATGGTTGCATGCTCACCTGTTGTTCCATTTCGCGGACCTTGAATTCGTGAGCCCCGAGCTTGGTGTAATCTTCCTGCTCGTCGTCCTGCCCACGCTCACGAATCATGTTCTGCACCTGACGGACCAATGCTCTGCATGCCGCTCCCACCGCCTTGCTGGCCTGCTCCAGGTTCTCCTGGCTATGGGAACGGAACCCGGCCTTGACCCTGCTCGCGGCGACCAACTGCGCGGTTGATGCGGCCACGTCGTTGGAGGCAACAATGAGCTGCTCGGGGCTGTTTCGGTCTGAGATGACTCCATCTGACGTCTCAATCAGCGTATTGGTCGAAGATGCGACAGCCTTTGCGGCCGAAATAAGTCCCTCAGTCCAGCGATTGTTCTTTTTGTAGAAAGCTGTTCGTGAAGATGATCCTCGGCCCGCCTGGACGATCTCTTGCTGGGTGACGGTTGCCGCCTTGATGAGTCGGGTGATGGCATTGGTAATGGCCATGGCGGCATCCAGGATAGAGTCGTGTACCTTCAGCTCGTACGTGGAATAGCCGTCTCGGGGTTTGTTCTTGAGCTTGGCAAGACGGGCTGCAGCAGCGGCAATGGCGTCGGCGGCCTTGTTAAGCTCGGAATCGACCAAATCTCCAAGATCCCCCTTGTTGTTTGTGAGCCTGCCGAAGCCGGGTGCAAATGCTTCAACAAGTTTGTTGAGCTTCTGTAGATTCATCTGCACGTCGTGATTCCTATTGATAACCACATCGATCTTCTGATCCGTCTCCAGTTCCTCCAGTCGGATACTGAGCAAGTTGCGGAAGAACTTAATGCTAGATTCAGCCGATTGCCGTGCACCGTTCATCAGAGAATCCGTCTTCTTGTCATCAGTTGCTAGTCTACTAAGACCCTTGGTGTTGCTACAAACATCTGCAACCGCTCCCGCAAAGACACTGATCGCCTTGATGAGCTCCTTGTGAGTGCTGTTTGGACCATCAGCAATAAAGCTATTAAAGGCTGTTGCAAACTCAGTTGCACTGTCTGAAGCTTTTTCGATTTGAGACAAGACGAATGACGGCGAAGCATTCTGGTTACCAGCTTGCATAGACGAGTCGAGTTCATACAAGGCATCATCGACTCGAGATACCCCGGCTTCCAGGACGGAATCAATGATAGCATTGATCTTGTCAAGGTTAGACAAGATTAGAGCATCAATTTGTCCATCCAGAGCATGATCTGTCTCGCCCTGGTTCTTCTCAAGGTCGTTCAACTTGACCAGCGCTTCATCCATGCCAGCCTTGTAGACCTCAAGCTCCACTTCCTTGTCTCGCAAAAGCTGCTCAAGGTCAGAGTTCCCATCTCTCATCCTGGATTGCGAATCTTCCAAAGCTCTGGACTTGTTGCGAAGAGCCTCCTCCAGGTCGCTCATCTCGCGATTATATTTGGCGAGCATTGTCGATAACTCGTTACCCTTGCTGCGTTCCAAGTTGTCGGCCCTGTCTTGAGCCATACGAAGCTCCCGCTTGAGCTTCTCAACTTCATCTTTATTGCTGCCGCTGAGTCGGTCCTTGTCATGGAGAGCCCGGTCTCGCTCGCGAATCATGTCGGCCAACTCGAGGTTCTTGGTCTTGATTTCACGCTCCAATTTCTCCCTTTTGTCGATAGCCTCCTGAGCACTGGCAGCCTTCAGTTGAACTGCTTTGAACTTTTGCAGAAGATCCAGATGCTCATGACGCAATTGGGAGTACAGCTTTGCAAGGGATTCATACTTTGTCCTCCACGTATTGACCTGCTCTTGCAAAGCTCGGATTTGATCATCCTTGCTCGTAATTTGTTGGCCAAGGCTGTTCTGAATATGCGCCAGCTCTCCTTCCAGGGCTTTCACTCGCTGGTCATACTGCTGGAGCATCAATTGGTCCCGTTCATACTGTGCCCGAGCGTTGAGGTTTTCTCTTTCCAACTCGGCCAAACGACCCTGCGTCTGCCACTGAGCCTGCTGTGCCAAAAGAGCTTCCTGCTCTCGCTGCTGCTGCTCTGCTAGCCGGCGTTGCTGCTCCTCAAAATCGCGCTGTGCCTGTTGTTGAGCTTGCTGCTGAGCTAGTAACGCCGCCTGCTGTCTCTCTTCAAGGACTCTCTGCTGTTCCTCATACTCTCGATTCTGACGATCAAGCTCGTTCTTCCAAAATTCGGATATCTCGTCAGGTTCCTGAGACTTTGGCTCTACAGGAGGCGTCGGTCGTCTTTCAATTTCTTGCCTGGGTCTGGCAGGCAGAGCCGGAGCTTCATCGTCATCTGCGAGCAGGTTCGGGGGATCCTGGGGCAGCTTGGGAATGGTGATTAGGCTGGTAAGATAGCGGAGGTTCGAGCATTCGTAGTAAAACTTGACAAGCCGATAGTGCTGAGCGTCGTACCTTTCTCGAAGAGGCTGCAAAGCTTCGTCGTCTCCCGTGACTGGCCAACACGTTAGCAACGTACCACATCTGCGAAAACGGTCTAGAGGGCATACTTGAGTGCATGGCTCGGAGCATGCTGGTGATAAACTTGTAGATGCCGTAACTCTCCTGCACAAGCGGTACCAAGGCAGAAATACGGCACTCATTGTTGCCGACGTGTCTGAAATGGGAGAAGATCAGTTTCTGAAATTGTTCAATCTTGTCCTGCAAGACCATAAGATCGGTGATGGTCTCGTAGCCTTCATTCGGATCATTGATTGCTTTCAAGCTGAGATACTCTTCGTATTCAAACGTGCCGTTGAATTCGGGATGCTGCTGATGAAACGAAAGCTTTGCAAGCAAGTAGTAAACATATTCACTAATCAACGGTGCGTAGCCACGGATTCCCTCGCCCGTCATGCCACGATTCAAACCATCGATCCATCCACGGTGGGCCATGGCTTCCTTAATAGCAGATGGGTGGCCTTCCTGGAGGACCTTGTGGATCGTGATGAGAGCTTTGAATGTCTGGACCTCGTCGGCAAGAATGGGTTGCCTATCTCAGTCGGTCAGCCATGGTGGGTGTCGCAAAGCAGCTGCCGGAGCACCATACACTTTAATTCCAGACCAGAAGGCCGCGGAGGACCTATGATCCCAGGTGTAAACAATACATGCTCTTACATGCTTGCGCTTCGGGGATATTTCATCGCTGTTGGTCGCCTTCTTGATGCTGATGGCAAGCTCTTGGTCTGTCCTGTAGGCGACCGACTGTCAGAATACGCAAACCGACGAGAGAACAAGGGTCAGGAGTTGGTACAGGACATGACATACTTGGTGTGCTCCGTGGTTCGTAACGAAGCCATGATTGCGACCGTTCCGGAGAGCTCTCCAGCTGTTGGAGCTCCGATAGGGGGTGCAGTGCGTGGTTAGTCTGTCGTGAGGACTCGAAGCACTCACCCACACACGAGTGAGGCCAAACACTCGGGTCGTACAGTACACTCGCCGAGGTGTTGAGTTCGTTTTCGGGAGATTGGAAAATGAGAACTTGGGGCCGAAATGGGCCGTTCGCCGGCGCCAAGCAGAAGTGCCTTATTCGCTGTCGTGTGTGCTGTCGTCAGCCTTGGATGATGCAGATTCAGGCTCCAATTACGGAGTACCTGAAGAGTAGCAGCGTCACAGGGTAACTTACCATGTGGGTCCACATGTCCCAAGTGTCCGCCGTTGCCTTCAAGCCTCGTTTCTCCCTCGATGTCAGCCGCCTACCCTGCAGCTTCTAGAAGACAGCTCCGAGATGAATCAGGCATCAAAATCCTCCCAGCGACATCATAAGATCAAGTCCTCTCTTCTGCAGCCTTCTTTCTTGTTGTATTTTAGTCTCAAATGTTTTTCCTCACCTTTATCCGGACGCACCACGTGACTGCCGACAGAATAATTCGTGCTACTCAACCAAGTCATTCTCCTCCTCATGTGCTTCTTCACTTACGGGTCAGAGACTGTTTGCAAGACACCAGCTGCATCAGACTTGAAAGAACGCCCGCTCTTTGTGTCCAGGCCAGAAATATTGCATCTTCTGAAAGTAAAGGGTATATTTGAAACACACCTCACTCGAACATCGCTCTAGCTACTCTGAGTCGGTATCGATGCGAGGGAAGCCTCATCTGTGACTGGGTGCTACAGGTAGCTGAATTTTGGAAGTGCATGTTTGCTGCAAAACTCGAGGCCTACAGTGTGGATAAGAGAAGGTGAAGAAAAAGAAAGATCTCCAAAAAGTACTGATGGGACGCGAAATGCAACACATACGTACGTGAGCTTCCCAGTCATCTAGTATCATGTCAGTAGTACAGTTCACAATCAATCATCAACAAACACAACTGATTCCCCCAAGATTTTTGAAACAATGGAAGCCTCGAATTGGCTTGTTCTTTCATTGAAACCCTCCCTTACAACACAAATGTCGTCTCCAAACTCTACACGCCGGCGAGCCGCTGCTCCCACGCACCATCCGATCCCAGTGAAACCGGAGCTAATCCCCATGGCATTCTCAATCAACAGGGGATCGCTACCTCAATCCTAGCCGTCCATTTTCCTGTCGGTTTTGCTAGCTATATCGAACACTTTGAAGAATTTCCTGAGATCGTCCAGGTTGTCCAACTTCTCATTTTTGTGTGGTCCTATTTCCCTATCCATGTTCAAATTGTATAGGTAATTTGTAATCTGGGATCGTCCATGGATAGCAAATAACCTATTCCATGAGATTTGCAAAAACTACAAATACGGTCTGTAGTGGAGCAATAGTGCCAGTAAGATGGCCCGCGATGGTCTCACGATGGTCTGACAATTGCAAGGAGTCTCTGGTGTGTCTCCAACAATGGAAGCGAAAAGCCATGACAGACAGGATGCTCTCATGGTAGAAGCAGGACCATCATGCTAAGCAAGCTAAAAGGCTGAGAGGAATCGCCTGCACGGGGTAGCGTACAACACAATGGTAGAAGTCAAATACACTACAAGTCACATAGTGAAGCATGATACCACAGCATCTAGTGATGTCATCTCGGTTTTATTTCCTATGGACATCGAAAATGCAGACCTTGCCATGCTGAGTTCTTTCCCATCCGGACGCAACACCACAAGAAAAAACGAAGCCCCGAGTCATCCCTCCCCAAACAAACACCTTTTAGATCGTAGTCTCGTAAGGCAAAGGAGTAACAGTCTCAGGAGGGTTGTCGGTCAGAGAGACGGTGCGAGCTTCCCGGGGAAGAGCAGGCAGTCGCTTAACCTGGACGGTAACACCATCGGTAGCGGCCTTCTTCTTGGCCTCGGCGTTGGACTTGACGCGCTTCAAGAAATCCTCACGAGATCGGGAGGGCTGGACGTGCTCAACTCGGACGTTGATGCGCTTCTCGATGTATCGGTGCCACACCTTCTTGTAAATGATGACACCGACAGACGACTTGGTGACGTTGTAGACAACACCAGTCTTGCCGTGGTAGACCTTGTAGGGCATACTATTCACCACGTAATCAGCGCCATGTACCTTCCAATGCAAAGCAATCTTCTCTCGAGCTCATCCGTCGTATTCGTAGGTATGCCATGCGAAAACATCTGTGGGACAAAATTTCTTACCCCTTCTGAACGGCACCGTTGACCTTGATGTCAACAATATCGCCAACACTGTAAATCTAAAATCAGTCTCTCCGGACTTTCATTTCCCATCTTCCAGGGCTATTCGGCTTCGGGTTTTACGAACCGGTACGTCTTCAAGTACGTGTTCAGGGCGATCATGCCCTTCTGGCGGAAGTTGCGGCTGAAGGCATACTGTTTCGACGTTAGTTTTGTCGCAAATCGAGTCTCGAAAGAATGATACGCACGCGGGTGCCCGCTCGCTTTCCGTAAGAGTGACCCATCTCGTCTTATTTGGCGAACAACGGGTTCGTGATCGAGAATTGGCGAAGGTGTACAGATAGAGCCTCCGCTTGTGGGTGCGTCGAATTTGGCGGTGGTTGTGGGAGCGGCAGCTTAGATAATCCGATATTTTTTTCTCCCACCTAGGACCAGAAATAGGGCATAATGACTGTGGGAGGTGGGGCGCATGCGGTGTGATATTCTTAGGGTTCAGAAAGCGACACACACGTGATCTTGCTAGTCGCTGACGGAAATTTATCTCCCCACAATGTTGAAAGATTCCCTCACTTGTGCGTGTGCAATTGTTCCATCCTCAGCCATCACCACAGGAGCAAGTCAAGTTAGTCCTAGAATCGCGAATCGCCTCAATTGTAATCATTAACAAAACCTTTAAGGATGCCTCCCCGCGCCCACTCGAAGACCTCCCGTGTCCCCCGCAGACCTTTCGAGTCTGCTCGATTGTCAGTACCACCGGCCACTGAACTAGAGCTTGTCTCTGTTTAAGTCGATTGTGAACGAAACTGACGCATACGCAACAGGGACTCTGAGTTGAAGCTCGTTGGCGAGTATGGCCTCCGCAACAAGCGTGAGGTCTGGCGAGTCGGTCTGACTCTTTCCAAGATTCGTCGTGCTGCCCGGTATGTCATTTCTGGAATCATGGGAAAATCTCTATGCAGGACGTTGCTAAACCCCAAATGTAGTCAGCTTCTTACTCTCGACGAGAAGGACCCTAAGCGTCTCTTCGAAGGCAATGCCCTCATTCGCCGTCTTGTCCGTGTCGGAGTTCTCGACGAGTCTCGCATGAAGCTCGATTATGTGCTTGCCCTTAAGCTCGAGGATTTCTTGGAGCGTCGCCTGCAGACTTGTGTCTACAAGCTCGGCCTTGCCAAGTCCATTCACCACGCTCGCGTTCTCATTCGCCAGCGCCACATCCGTGTCGGCAAGCAAATTGTCAACGTTCCTTCTTTCATTGTCCGTCTCGACTCCCAGAAGCACATTGACTTTGCCCTGAACTCGCCATTCGGTAGCGGTCGCCCTGGACGTGTCCGCAGAAAGAAGGCCAAGGCCGCCGAGGGCGGTGCTGATGGTGAGGAGGAAGAGGATGACGAGTAAATGCATTAGCCATGTCCTGATGGATCTCCGACTGGTATGGGGATAATGATTCGGTATCCTGCTCACGGGAGGGAAAACTCGTCATAGCTTGCGGCGTTGGTAAAAAGGATAAAAATTGATTGACTTCTCTACCAATACCAACAAATTTTGACCAGTGCTGCGTAAATATGTTTCTAAGTTGGTGAAATGTCAAAGGTTTATGTCCCAGGTAGTCTGGTACGATGTATTCGGATGTTCTTTTAGATTGCTTCTGTTCAAAATGATTAAAAATGCGCACCAATCACAGTGTTCAGCAAGCCAAGACTGCCCATTCAATTTATTTGACTTTCAAATTCACGCTTGCTAGCTTAATAACTCGTCTCTGCCCAGCATTTTTGCCATGGGATCATCTGCCGCCGCTCTTTTCCTGCGGTACTCATCCAATTCTGCTTCTGAGATGCCGTTTAGCATTTCTTCCCGGCTGCGTTTCTTCGCCGTCGTTCCTTCCTGGTCCTTCTGGGTCGCCTCTTCAGGAGACGAATCCCCCTTTTCCTCCTTCGGAGCTTCAATCAAGTTTGCGCCACTCCTCTGTCGTTCAGCTGCTTCCCATGCCTCTTTGCCTTCTTCTCCAGTACAGTAGCTGTTTTTTACAAATGAGTGGCAGCATGCGTACCCCCATTTGAAGTTGGACCACCAACTTCCCCAAACAGAAGTATGGTTATTTATCAACACATCCTCTGCATATTTGGATTTGGCTGCTTTTCGCGGCGCTCCCTTGATCAAGCCTGCTTCATCATATTCGACATATGATTCCGACTCGGTGACCATCATACCGCGCAACGCAGCAGGCATAGGTTTCTGGTCATCTCCTCCGTACTTCTCCCTGAGCTGTCTCTCACGCTCCGCGCGCTTTTTCTCTGCTTCTTCTTGCTCCATTTTTCGGTAAAAAGCACCGGCGGTAGGGTTTGCTTGTAAATGTTGTGATGTGTCGCCACTCTTTTCTTGCGCCTCCCAAGCGTATCTCTGGGCTTTCTCGAACTCCCTGGCATCACCTGATGATCGCATAAATCCTTCTTCAGCAAAGAGATCGGCAGCTTTGCCACCGGTGGCTCCTCCGTCAACTAATGATCTCGTCTTTGGATCATATTTCGCAGACTCCAAATCGAGATTGAGGAGATATTTGGCCGTATCTTCTCGGATTCTCAGTTGACGAGTTGCTGTGCTCTGATGTTTACTCATGTCGTTTTCCTCGGCATACTTGTCGCCATCCTCCGAAACCTCCTCCCCGTCTTGAGACTTCTGTGACTGCTTTCGGAACTCTTCCATCTGATTGAACTCATCCACCACGCTACGGTATTCTTTCGAGTCGTATCCGTTCCACCGGTCACGCTTGGCATCCCACCCCAAGTTGACGGTTTGGATAACTTCGTCGGCTTGAATGTCTTTGCCGGTCCACTTGGCACCCTTGGCCCTAGGACGGCTCAGGCAATCTTTGGCTTTATGCGTCATCGCGCCGCAGTTTTCGCAAGCGCCTTTTCGATATTTTGTAGCGGCTGGACCAGACTTTCGCCCCCGATCGTACCATTGCGATGATTCCTTCTTCTCCTCTCGTCGCTGATGTTTGAGGTAATCGTTATCATCTCCTTCTTCTCCGGCATAGAAGGGCCTTTTACTGATGAAAGATGGGATGTAGATGTTCTCCTCCTTGTTTGCCGCGCCTGTCTCAGGCTTGCGCGGAGGCGCGGGTGGCATCGTGCGGGTGGTTTCGTCCAATAGAACGTTGACTTTCCAAAAGATTCGATGTGGATAGAAAGCAGATACTTTTTATGCGAATGTGTGCAATATTATTTGTTTTCAGTCGTGACTTGGGCAGGACTTCGGGGCTGGCGCATTCAAGAGCTTGGATGGATGTTGAGTACATGCGATATACAGTCCCGAGAACTTCTAGGGTGGGTTTTTATTCAGCATCCCCGCAAAGTACCACCTTTAACAACGATGTTACAAATTCTGATATACGCCCATTCGCACTCGCATCACGTAACCGTAATTCAGCTCGAAAATCACCCCCAAAAATCATCCTCTGCTAGACTGCACTCTCACAAGTTATCCTCAAATTGCTTAAGCACTCTATAAATCGGTTATTTAGGCATCTAACAAAGTTAGAACTGTTAGTAGTCAACTTTGCCATGTACTTTCTGCAGTAGCCAATAAAATAGGCCAGAAATCAACCCACGCTAAGGTAGGCACTTATCACACGTGACTACGCGAGACTAGTGCGTCAGACTTGCACCTTCGGCACGCGCGAGCGCAGACGAATCGTGAACATGGTATGGAGCCTTTTCTCGCGATTTGCTAATCAAATCTTGACACAAGCCCAGTAATGTTTCATTCCCGAATTGCAGTTGAACCTAATGGAGTTGCATGCTGCAAAGCATGAATTTGTTTCGGGTCAGATTGAATTGCATCGATCATTACCAGGCGATCCCCACCCGTTATGATCCTCAGCTTCGAAATGACGTTCGTGCATCACAGGTAGTCAGGGGCCCCAAGGTTCCTGTTGTACGCATATTCGGCTCTACAGAAACCGGACAAAAGGTCTGCGCTCATGTTCATGGCGCATTTCCTTATTTATACGTGGAATACAATGGCGACTTGGCGCCTGATGAGGGTGAGGTGCTCCATTGAGACGCAAGGCGCCAACCATGCTGATGACTTCTTTTAGTTGGAGCCTATATCTACCGACTGCATCTCTCCATTGATCATGCCCTGGCTGTAAGCTATAGGCGAGATCAGTATGGGGAAAATGCCAAGTTTGTCGCACGGATCACCCTGGTCAAGGGCATCCCGTTCTACGGCTTTCATGTCGGCTACCGGTTTTTTCTCAAGATATACATGTTCAACCCAATCGTGATGACCAGGTTAGCGGATTTACTACAGCAGGGGGTAATTATGAAGCGCAAATTTCAACCGTACGAAGCTCACTTGCAGTACCTACTTCAGTTCATGGTTGATTACAATTTGTATGGATGTGATTACCTGGAGTCGTCCAAGACCGCATTTCGGTCTCCTGTCCCTGCTTATGACGCTGGATCCAACTCTTCACACCTGTGGCATAGTCAATCAGTCCTTCCTCAACATATCACAGATGATCCTTCCTTGCCACGAGTTAGCCATTGCTCCATCGAAGTAGATATTTGTGTGCAACACATCGCCAATCGCCAGGCAGTGAAGGAGCGACAACTACATCATGACTTCATCGAGCGAAAATTTCCCATACCAGCAAATCAAAAGCTTGTGTTCAGCTTGGCAGGATTATGGAGAGATGAGACCAAACGGCGACAACGTCAAATGCTGCATGGCAAGCAAGGACTCAGCCCCTTCCCCCCTGATGTTTTGGTCAGTATGTCTGCCGATGCTAGACAGTCTCAACCACAGGGCTGGATCCATGAGGAGGAGTACGTGGAACAAATCACCGAGCTGGTCAACGCAGAACTTGCTAGACTCGACGACCAGCATCCCAAGTTCGAAGATTTTGTGGAACGAGCGGACCCAGACGAGGAGGTGCATACAGCTCTGCAGTCTGTTGAAGATTTATTTCCAAACAATCTTATTCCTGCGCTCGGCCTTTCGTCAAGCATGACGCAATTAACGGGGGAGCCACCTGCAAGTAGCATTGAAGTGGACGAGAAGAAAATCCTCCAAGAACTCAACCCTGGAGATGAGTTTTTCCCGGATGATTCCGACGAAGAGAGGCTTAGAGAATTTACTCGGGCAGAACACAGTGCTGAGAATGACATTGGACAAGATGCTGCCGCTGCTGTGACAGAAATTATCTCGGCCAATAGCGGGAGCCTGTCGACGGCAATTAAGCCACTGCAGCCATCATCACATCTCATGCCCGGCTTATGTCTCAGTGTACTTTCAACCGGATCACTTCCCGCCGTCCCCGTTTCACAAGAGCTCCTCGACGCTGCCGAAGATGAAGGACTAGTTGGAAGAGTTCCACGATCTAAGGCTTTGCGACATCAAAAACTGATGGCCCGCAAACGTCAGGGGCCAGTGGCGTCGTCCACAAGTAGCCCACAGAAGCGACTGAAATCCTACAATGCCACACCAGCAGCTGAATACTCGTCTTCCCCTAAGCTGAGCGGCTTTAGATCCGTAAACCAACGCCACTCTACTTTTTCGTCTCCTAGAGATAGATCTAGCCCATCCAGCAGCGATCCACTCGCTGCCTCAGACCGAGCGCTGAATTACGCCATTACCAAAGAACAGAGTGGTGAAAGTCCAAAAGCGCGGTTCAGCCAGCGAAGCCAGATATCACCTGTTAAGCGGAGTGATGGCAGCAAACTGACCAAAACCATGTCTTGTCGTCAGAGTGTGGACGATCTGCTAGGGAAAGCAGGCAACTCCCAGTTTGACGTGCTTACGCCTAACTTTTCGTCCAGGCTTTCTGAGCACGACGATGAAACGACAAAGATTCAACGGGCCGTTGCGAAGGTAGTTGACAACAGGTTCATGATATACTCACACATGCCACCAACTGCTAGCCAATGTTCAGCTGTGAAAGATCCTCAGCTGCCTGATGTTATCTATCAAGATGCATTCTACAGTAGAGAGTCTGATGTTCCAGAGCGCAATCGTGAGTATGCCGGTCGAGAATATCGGTTGGAGAGCAATACTCTACCATTTCTTCCCGTTTTTGACGCCAATGGCGCCTCTCCTGCCAGCTATGGGATCAAAACAGACAGTTATCAAGTACAACAAGCTCTTGAACAAGAACAGGCACTACAGCGTCGCCACTGCACTTGGCAAAGCTGGGAGTACGCTCAATTGCCCCCGTCTCACCAGGAAGTAGTACATTGGCTAGATATGCGGAAGCGGCAGAAGGAGGCTGGCAGGAAAGCACCTCGGCATGTATTTCCCTCATCAAGGGCTTGGTTGTCTCAGATCGATGGCCCAACACAGAAAAACAAGCATGGATTCAAGTATACACAAAAGGGCAAGTCAACAAGTGTGGAACACGAGGTTCAATACATGAGCACTATGAGTCTGGAAATCCACGTCAATACTCGAGGGAAATATGTTCCAAATCCTGAAGAGGACGAGGTTCAATGCATATTTTGGGTATGCAAGTCTGATGAAGCGATTGGAATTAGCCAAAATACCTCAGGTACTATCCACACAGGGATAGTGGTGTTGTCGCAAGACGGAAAGGAGACCCAGGCCATGCCGAAATCAACAGGGTCAGACATCATTGAAGAGAGCTCTGAACTGGACTTGATTGTCCGTATGGTTGAGATTGTAAGAACATTTGATCCCGATATCTTAACTGGATACGAGGTTCATGGTAGCTCATGGGGTTATTTGATCGAACGCGCCCGGTGCAAATACGACTATAATTTGTGTGACGAGTTTTCCAGGATGAAAAGCGATTCTCATGGACGATTTGGCAAGCAAAGCGACCGATGGGGCTTCAACACAACATCAACGATTCGCGTTACCGGCCGGCACATGATCAACATTTGGAGGGCCATGCGTGGCGAACTGAATCTTCTCCAATACACCCTCGAGAATGTGGCCTGGCACCTCCTACATCGTCGTGTGCCTCATTATTCTTGGAGGACATTGACATCCTGGTATAAGAGCGGCAAGTCTAGTGATCTCGGCAAAGTCGTCAGATATTACCAGACGCGAACATTGATGGATATCCAAATCCTGGAAACCAACGAGCTGATTCCCAGGACGAGTGAACAGGCTCGACTGCTTGGGGTAGACTTCTTCTCTGTGTTTTCACGGGGCTCACAATTCAAAGTCGAGTCCATCATGTTTCGAATTGCGAAACCCGAAAACTTCATCCTCGTCTCTCCGAGTCGAAAGCAAGTCGGCAGTCAGAACGCATTGGAATGCCTACCCCTGGTTATGGAACCGCAAAGCGCCTTTTACAACAGCCCGCTTTTAGTCCTAGACTTCCAGAGCTTGTACCCAAGTGTCATGATTGCCTACAATTACTGCTATTCGACCTTTTTGGGACGAATTACCAACTGGCGCGGCGTAAACAAGATGGGGTTTGCGGAATACAAACGTCAGGAAGGCCTTCTCGCCCTGTTAAAAGACCACGTCAACATTGCACCAAATGGCATGATGTATGTCAAGCCTGAGATTCGAAAGTCTCTTCTCGCCAAGATGTTGACAGAGATATTAGAAACAAGGGTCATGGTCAAGAGCGGCATGAAGAGTGACAAGGACGACAAGGTGCTACAACAGCTGTTGAATAACCGTCAGCTGGCACTGAAACTGTTGGCCAATGTCACTTACGGATACACATCTGCCTCTTTCTCAGGACGCATGCCCTGTTCCGAAATAGCAGACAGCATCGTCCAAACGGGTCGAGAGACGCTTGAGCGTGCCACAGCATACATCCACTCGGTAGAGCGATGGGGGGCGGAAGTCGTCTACGGCGACACAGATAGTTTGTTCGTTTACTTGAAGGGCAGGACGAGAGACCAAGCCTTTGATGTCGGCAACGAAATTGCAAAGGCAATAACGGACATAAACCCGCAACCCGTCAAGTTGAAGTTTGAAAAGGTCTACCACCCCTGTGTACTGCTAGCTAAGAAACGCTACGTCGGATACAAGTATGAAAGCAAAGACCAAGTCACGCCCGAGTTCGACGCCAAGGGCATCGAGACTGTTCGCCGAGACGGCACCCCGGCCGAGCAAAAGATTGAGGAAAAGGCTCTTAAACTGCTTTTTGAAACTGCCGATCTGAGCCAAATCAAGGAGTACTTCCAGAAGCAATGTGACAAGATTTTGCGGGGGGCAGTGTCTGTACAAGACTTCTGCTTTGCAAGGGAAGTCCGCCTGGGGACATATTCCGACAAGGGGCCACCGCCGGCCGGCGCTCTCATCAGCACCAAGAAAATGCTCGAGGATGCCAGAGCGGAACCTCAATACGGCGAGAGGGTACCGTACGTGGTTATCACAGGAGCCCCCGGGGCACGTCTAATCGACCGGAGCGTGGCCCCGGAAGATCTACTGGCCAATCCTCACTGGCAGCTCGACGCAGAATACTACATCTCCAAGAACCTCATCCCCCCGCTGGAGCGCATCTTCAACCTCGTCGGCGCCAATGTAAGGCAGTGGTACGACGAGATGCCCAAGGTCCAGCGCATACGCAGGGCGCCAAACGAGCCGGGAGCCAAGAAAATGACCCTCGAGTCGTACATGCGCTCGACGCACTGTCTCGTCTGTAGCGCCAAATTCGCCCAGGAGGGCCAAGCCCTCTGTCCTGCATGCCGAGACAATGCGCCCGCTTCGCTGTTCATGCTTCAGACGAGGTTGGCCACCGAGGAACGCGGCTACCAGGACGTACTGAGCGTTTGTCGAACATGCTCCGGACTGAGTCCTCTTGAGGACGTTCGCTGCGATAGTAAAGACTGCCCTGTGTTTTGGACCAGGATGAAGCAGAGGACAAAAGTGGCGGGAATGAGGGCAACCGTTGGACCGGTTATACGGGCTCTGGCTGAAGGTGAAATGGAAAGGTCGGCGTTGGAATGGTGAATAAAATGATACTTTGGCCCAATTGTATCAATTCCTAAAAGGGAGAGGAGCGTTGGTATGGTACTCATAACGGCAGGCAGTGTAAGCTACAGACGTGTTGCAAATGATGATCATGATTTAATGTCACTTGGGCGTGCAGCTAGCTGATTACATGCATGACTAATTTGGTGCCCTGCTTATGTACATTCATAGTATATATACATGGTAGCCTCCTATATTAGGGCAATGTATCGTCTCATTCAACAGTATTCGCCAGGCTGCAGTGGTACTGTTTCGAGGTAGACACCAGTGCACCTTCTATTGCCATGAAAACAACTCCAAACACCTGCTCTAAATCAGCCAACCAAAAAAAAAAAAAAAAAAGAGAGAGAGAGGGTGGGCAGCTCAGGTCCATGGCTTCTAGGATGAAATGACCTGGGATAAAATTATTGCTCGCTCGCCTTTTTTTTGGATGCTTTTATACGTCCACCGTGTCCCTTTCATCATCTACTTCCTGAACTGGCACTGGAGAGCATAGGGGTGGTTGCTTTCACTTGATCTCGCCAGTAGTTACGGGAAGCTCCTCAGCAATTGACTCGTCCCCGAGAGTATCATCCTCTAACCAACCAGAAATGTCGTCATCGTCGTCAATACCGACATCGGCAGCTGGTAGCGCTGCCAGAGGACTTTCCTTTTCTACTTCTACACCCGACATGACAGGCTCCTGTGAAGATTCTTGAACAGTGCTGGACGAGATTTCTACAGTTCCTGCAGAGCCAGACGCAATTTCCGCGACTGCCACTGGAAGATCCTTTGCCTTTGCTCCCATGTCAGTTTTTGGCCTTGCTGCCTTTTCGACTTTCTTGGCAGAGTCTTCCCAAGCTTCATCGTAGCCTACCTTGTCCTCTTGGGATGGTGTGCCTGGCCGGGAATCGTCGGGGGCAGCCACAACGAGCATATTCTGTTCTGCATCCTCATCTTGCTGCTGGCTTGGGCCTCGTCGTCTTTGTTGAGGCAGCGAAGGCGGCTGCGGCGATCGATTTTCTTTGTCATGATCTATAGACTCGGCCTGTGGCTGTTCACGGATAGAGGAAGAGGACGGAATAGGTTTGCGTTTAGGTGCCGGTGCAGTGACAAGCCTTGTGGCCCCATTGGTAGGGCCCGGGAGCGGTGTTCCTGGAGGCGGTAGCGGTTGACCTCGCCCCATTGGTTGGCTGAGATCAACTTGATGGGACTTGTCGCCGTTTTGCCGCTGGTCCTTTTGCCGGCGAATTGCATTCCAACCCCACTGTCTTGCCTGTTCCGCAGCATTTGTAACTGCGGCTAGTGTGTTTCTTTTCAGGTTACCGCCCGAGGATGACTCGGTCGATGCAGTGGTGCTAGTAGTGTCACGTCTCGAGAAGAAGTTTCGACCAAGTGACTCTGTATGGCTCTTGAACGACCCGGTTGTAGATGGCGTAGGTGAGCCGGGGCCAGAATCTTCACTGTGAGGGAGAGATTCGACCGAGGATGTTGTGTTGCGGTGTGCTGTTTGTACCGGTGTTATATCTGCATTCCCGGTCTGCTCCTTGTTCTCGATTTCCTTGGAGGAGGTCGACGAACGACTCGACCTCTTGGCTCGGGGTGATGCCTTTGCTGAAGGTTCAGAGGGCATCTGCATAGGTGATGCGTCCTGGGACCGAGATGCCAGAGAGGCCATAAGGTTGGTGGCATGGTCAGGAGGCGACGAGGAAGGTTTGAAGAGGTCGGCGTGGGCAGTTTCAGTGCCCACCACGGGGTCTGTCGAATTTTTGATGATATTGAGAGATCGCGGCGTACTATGACCGGAGTTAAGGGGCTTGGAATCGATACTACTGGTCAGGACAGAAGTCGCACTTCCATTGGCACCCTTTCCCAGCTTCCTGCCAAAGAAGCCCGTGCTGCTTGGTTGCTGCCCCATGGCGGGTAGAGTGTGACTCTTCTCTAGGGGTCGAGTTTGATTTAAGAGATCTTCGTTCTCATCCAACTTTTCCGGTTGCTCAGCGTTGGAAACTGCCTGTGGACGCCCAGCATCTTCGCTTGACTTGACAACAGCATCATCGCCTTGAAATATGCCTCCTCTCCAAATCTTGTGTTCGGTTCTGAAGAACGGTACGTCGTCCCAGAACGGCTGCACCAATGTCTCAGCGAAGACTTCCTTTATCCTGCTCTCGATCTGGCGCAAAATCAGAGTATAAGTAATTTGTCTTGAGCTGACAATTGGCTCGATGACCATTTCCATCTTGGGCATTGTCTGAAAAGACATCCACACACGATTGCTGGGCGGTGCCTTGACCTTGAATAAAATATGGCCCTCAATCCGCTTTAGGACAACGGCCAAAAGCAAGGTGACCTCTCGGGCTTTGAACCTTGTCCCAAAGTCAATCTTGGCCGTAGCGCCAACCTCGAGGCGAAAGTTGCCAGTGTATCTAACATCTGCCTCCACAACGCACTCGCCCTCTACAGTCAGGTCTTTGAGCTTCAAGTTTGTAAAGTAAGGCGCCGCTTCGCCAGTGTCAATCTTCTGAATGGTGATGTTGGCTAGAAATGAAGGTCGCTTAACTCTGGATATCTTCTTGGTGATTTTTTCACGGATCAAGTCTTCCAAATCTCGAGTTCTATAGACGGCCAGAAAGATTCTTCCAAGCATTGCATTTAACCATCTGGAGTGAACATGGTCCTCGGAAGAGTGCAACCGTTGTACCAAGGAGATGATGTTTTTAACCTCGAAGCCTTTGGGGATTGGGGGGTTCGAGTCAAAGCCGAAAGTCTGCTCCTGGTTCCTTAGCAAGGCAAAGTAAAAGTCTTCCTTTGCCGAGCAGTTTTCAGAAAATAAATAAAAAGGCTTCATCGTCTGGCCGTCTGCGTCGGGCATATCCTGGCCGTCTGCTCTCCTCGACAAGCACAACGCATTCCGCTTGATGAACAACTCACCTTCGGGGGTGACATCGCCGCCCGAGTAAATACTAATGTCATAACTTGCTAATGAAATAACATGGCGTACTTCCAACTGCTCTTCGTCGTCAAACAACATGATGTGACCGTGCCTAGGCGTTTCACGAAAAGTGTAAGTTTAAATATAAAGAGGATATCAATAAATGGTGACAAGGAGGCAAAAATGGCAAAAACGGCGAGAGAACCCGGGGCCTGCTTACCTTAGCACAACGTAAAAGACGTTGCCAGCCTTCTTTGGACGCTGGCTCATACTGTTATTGGTATTATTATTATCCAGGGGGCCAGCCACCGGCTTTCGATCGAATATACTTCTATACATGGTCTGATAGACGCTGGGGCTTGGAGGAGCAACGGTAGTGGAACCGACGGGGGTTGAGCGTTCGATGGGTTTGGCATTGAGACCCATGGGCGTGTACTCGCGGCAGACGGCGAAGTAACCGGCGGCAACGTCGAGGTCGCGGGTGGCCCGGGCATTGGCGGTTTCGGCAGGGGATTTCTTCTTCTCCGCCTCAAGAGCTGAAGTATCGTCGCCGGGTTGAACGATGTCATTTTGGAGTCGGTCGCCCTCGCGGGCATGAGGAGGTACCAGGTCATACCGATACGGGAGCGTATAGTGGGCGTGGGCCAGTATGGCCAGGACGACAAGCGGAATAAAGGTGACGCCTCCAAGAAGATACGTCACCAGTAATGTCGTCCATGGCCCCATGGCTGTTGTGTATAGTACGCGAAAAGACTATTTAGCCAAGGCCAGTGGCCTCGAGAGGGTCGAGGTCCGATGCGGCAGAATCGGCAGAATCAGCGGTGACTACCAGGACAGCTGACGCTCGCGATAGATGTGGTTGGAGGCGAAGCACTGGTTGAAACGTCGATACAGAGCGGCCTGACTGCTGTGAACAGGCAAAGAAACCAAAAGTGGTGGTGGACACGAGGAGTTGTCTATGTGGCCAGGCGGGACGAGTTTGAGTGTGCAACATGCAACATGCAACATGCAGCTTGGCGAGCAATAGAGGCTGGCTAAGCCGGCACGACCAGCATGCAGAATAAACGGATGTCGATGCAGGAGCAAGCGAAAGAAGACTGGAATGATGTTTCGAAGGGAGGGTTGAAATGAGCTCCAGAGCCCTAAAGAGACGTCGTCGAGACGGGCCGAGGACCCAAGGTTAAAGAGAATAGAATAGAGTGGTGGGTTGTGCAAAAGGAAGGGCAGTCTAATAAACAAAGTCGATGCCGGCGTCCAAGTCGAACTGAAAAGTCAAAAGTCAAAGCCAAAGCCAAAAAAGCCAATAGTCGAAGCCAAGGTCGAAGCCGATGCAGCGAGGGAGAGACGAGACTAGAGTCCAAGGGTCCGGCCAGGCTCCTTGCAAGATCGAGTTGTCGCTTTGTTGGAGCGTCTAGCTCTGGCTGCAGCCATGCAAACGTGTAATTACACACGAGCTGCAAGCTGCAAGAAGCTTGGAAACTGGTCGGAGTTTAAAATGGCATTGACTGATTACAGGTGACAGATGGCAGGTGGCGCAGGTGGCAGATTGCAGGTTGCAGGATGATGGTGAAGCTCAAAGCATAAATAAGCTCGAGTCGTGCAGCTCCAGTCCGAGTCAATGTGGCCTTTCCGAGTCGAATGGCTCCGGAATGGCTGGCTGGCAGTGGATCTCGAGCGAGCTGCTGTCGTCTTGTGCTCTCAAGTAACTAGTTACATAGTAGTGCTGTCAGGTCCAGAGATGGACATCGATGCACCTACGTCATGTGATGGGGCCTCGAGTGCTTCTCTAGCAGGGGACAGTCAACGCTGGGACCGCTGGGACCAGTCAAACCAACTGCGCAGTTGGTAGCTCTAGAAGCCTGGATCCACCAGAAAGCACTGATCTCAGAGCAACTGTGCATCCAATGTCTGGTTCGTCTCAAGTCCTCCATGTCCTTTCTTCTTTCAGCAAGTTATGGACGCGGATACATGGCCAGTAAAAAAACAAAAATAAAACATCATTCATTCATCATGCAAGTACACTCATTCTCTGTCTCCTTGCCTACTTCTTCTCCTTCTTCCTCCTGCCACCACCAGCCCATCCATCTCTCGTCCCTCCGTGACTGTCCATCTGTATTACCATCAACCGCTGCGCAATGCATTCCTTTGCCGTCGACCTTTCCCGCTGCTTCTCCTCTTCCTTCTCCTGTATACATGTACAATTTTTCCCACATCTTCATCTTCGGGTCTCGCTGCAGTCTATAGACGTGAAACAGCAAATGCTCCCTTTCCCAATTTGGGCTGGCCACCGTATTAACTAATATATATATATACTTCAAAGTCTGGGACTTATATAGCCGGGCCAAACGTCCAAAGCCCAATCAATCAGGTAAACTCGAAAAAGAAAAGGTGTTGCCATCGAGCATCCTTCTCCTTCAAGAATGAAAGTAGAATCTAGTGCCAACGAAAAGAACAGACAAACCCCCGCCCCTTGCCCTTCTGTACTCAGACACACAAGCCTTCTTGGTCTACCAGCAGGCCAGTGCCTTTCCGTTTACTTGTCATGAGGTCGACAAGGAGAGAGAGGTTGTCATAATGTAATCAGTCTGTCATCAGCCGGCTGCTAGCGTCGAGTTGCCCGCATTTTTTTTAATTGTATGAATGAATGTAAGAAATATCACGAGGGAAAAGGCGGCCTCAAAAGCATAAATGCAGCGAGGATGCAGTCAGAGGTAAACGACCCAAAAAAAAAAAATTCTGCAAGAGACTCCGTTCTGGAAACCATGATTTCGCGGTCAATATAACAGGACATCGGCTTTTTTTATTTCGGTTTCGTTGAAAAGTAAAGATTGTACGCATCACAGAGGCTGGCCTAGGACAAGACATAGCCGCACACTGCAATATCGGTGAAAGCAGAATCGGATTACCGAGTAAAAACAGGAAATGGAAACCACAAAATGAAGGACGGGATATCGTCATGTCGTCAAGCTTTCACACAAGATTAAAACTTGTCGTAAAATAGGTCAAGGAAAATAGTTGATGGAGCTGTTGTTGAAGGAACGAATTGCTCAATGGTGGTTGGGTGTAGCGAAACACCAAAAAAGTGACATAGCATCAGATAGCCAAAAACAGTTTACGCTCGAGACCGCATCGAGGCCACTGGTGTGTTGTTAACAGACTGGCCGGGGTGAGAGTGGGAAGGATGCCCACGACCCCTTCGTGAAATGTGCGGCAGAGTTCCTACATCATGCTTGCCGTCACAGCAGGCTCTCACATTTTCAAGCCGATCCGCCTCTCGATCTTGACGCTCAATCATCTCGCGCAGATCTTCAGCGCTGTCATGCACTTCACTTGCTTCATAAATGCCCCAGTTTTGGCCGCTAGCACCTCGGCTGCGGAAGCTAGAGAGAGTGCCAGAGAGTTTCGGTGCTCCAGATCTCCAGTACCCGCTGAGTTTGCTGAAAGTACCGGTCGACGTTCTGCTGCTTGTGGTCGAAACATGTTTGCGATTGCCAGACGGTGTGAGGGTTGGAACGTCCATGGACACGCCGAGCGCTGGAGACTCGGTTCGCGTTGTACGGGAATTGTACGACGAGAGAGACGGGGCGGCTCTTGATCCGGCGTCATTAACTGGTCGACGACCGACTTGTGGATTGAACTCATCGATATCTTCTTGCGTCATTTGCCCGGCAACCTCTTCTGCGTCCGTCTGTTGACGTTGGCCAGTTCTCAGCAACAAATACGAGAGCGCGTTGAACCACGTCTCGTGGCGTTGACCAGTCGTGCAAGTGAACTTGATGGTTCGCCCAGGTGAGATGATGATCAAGCTCTTGCGATGAAGCCCCGGTGGCATTGGATTATCATCCGTTACCACACGGACGGCCTCAATGGGTACACTCTTGGCTTTAAGCTCCGTGCGAACTGCGGTAGATGGGTCCTTGTCGCTCCAATACAACGTCCTAGTATACGGATGAACCCAGAAGTAGCGACGGTGACGGTTCTCAGAGAATTCGCCGCGACCCGTCTTTCGAGTATACTTCCACAAAAATTCACCAATCATGGTTTGCGTGATTGCTTGAATCATACGAGGATCAGTATTAGGCCCAAATCCCGTCGGAGGCATGCCCATCTCCCCAGGCCGTATGTTGAATCGCGTATCAAGCTCGGACGCGAAGGATGACACAGATGACCGTCGGGAATGCGATGTAAGTCTACCGGATGCGCTAATCTCTGCAGTTCCGTTCTGTATGGATCCGCTGCGGGCGCCCCGTGGCGTAGGAGTTCCACGGCCAGATGACATGGGACCTTGTTGACTTGGGGTCTGAGGTCGATGTTTCGTTGCCGAGGCAGGCCAGAGGGGAGGGCCCATGCTGGCTGTTTGTTGGCTGTGAGATGACCCAGAACGAGCTGCTTCAATAATCTGGCGGTGATTAGAAGGTAGCGGTGGCGCATCGTGGAGTGAGCCTCGGCCACTCGCTGCACTTCCTGGTCGGACCAAAGCTCCAATATCGTGTACAGACTCATTCACTGCCCTGCCTCTAGGACGAACAGGCGTGTCAAGACTCTCTTGTGAGCGATAGATTCTAACTGTGCCGGTGGTGTCAGGCGTGCCGACGGAGCCAACGGACGAGTTCTTCACATGCCCAGAAGAGCGTTGAGAGTCACTTGTGAGAAGCTGCTCGATAGCCCCGGCAGTCAATGAAGTCTGGGCGGCTTGGTCACTGGTGGGAACACTCTGCTTTCGTGCTGGACGGAAATTAGTATTGGCAGAAATCTCTTTAAATGGCCGTTGTGACTCTGGAGTACTGGCATCTAGTGAGATGGGAGACTGTCGAGTATCGTCCTCGGCAATGACTGGTGTAATGTCTCTCTTCTTACCGCGGGAAGCGATGGATCCAAATATATTCTTGGTGGGCGTCTCTGGAACATTGCTCTCTCTGCCTTCAGAGTCATCATCCCTTGGAAGAATAAAAGCATTTCTCCAAGGACTGCGAGGAGATGTGGGATGGGTCTCGATAAATTCGATGGAGGAGAAGCCAAAGCTTGGTAAAGTCGTCGAGTCGGGTGTGGGCGCCATAGGCTCCACCTGCTGGGCAGAAATTGTAGACAAAGCCAACGCCGGCGGAGGAGGAGGGGGCTCCATAATCGGTTGTGTGTGTTGCATGAGGATCGATGATAGAGCAAGTGATGGCTGCGCCGGCGGCGGCAGTGATACTGGCTCGACATTCTGTGCGGCGATTCCCGAGAACTGTAGGCGGGGCGGTGTTGGTAAAACCACCGGCTGTTCTATGGGCTCAAGATCTTCCACATGTATAGAAGACATGGTCAGGTCTATGTGTGGAGCTTGAACTTCCCGAGGGCTGACAGGTACAACGGGGGCCACAATGGTGGTCTCCGTCTTCGGCTCTGGAATAGGTTCCCACGCTTCAGTAACAATACCGGATATTGTCATTTCAGGCCGTGGAATGCCCAGCGGCTCTATGACTTCGGTCAAAACGGAGGACAGGGTCAGTTGTGGCCGAGGAGTGTCGGGTTCTACTACTGGCTCCAAAGCCTGGGCGGCGATATGTGACAATGTCAATTCGGGTTGTGCCAGTTCAGGCTCAGATCTAGGCTCGACATGCTCCATAGCAAGAGAAGTCAGATGCAGAGTCGGGGGTGTTGGAGGCATCGTAATCTCATCCCTTGGTTCCACGTTCTGAGATTGAATGTGCGACAACCCAAGTGAGGGTGGTTCAACATGAGGTGAGGAGGTCGGAGGAACAGGGAACTCAGCCAGCTTGCTTTCCAGATCTTGTTCATACTGAATACTAGCATCACTGTATGAGAACATGGACGCTGGGCGAGAGAAATCTGTATCCATTCCCCGACTGGTTCGCCAAGATGTAGACAGCCGGTTTCCGGCGTGAACAACTGACTCCATTGACACCGGCCTGTCAGCACGTTCCTCGAAAACTTCTGCAGTGATCTTGACGGGGTCAGTCATGACACCACTGTCCACCATGACTACTTTAGGCAAGTTTGGAACAGCGGGAGGTGGCGACAAGGTCCGGCGAACCGATCCGGGAGTAGCAGATCGGACACTTCGCCGGCTTGGAGTAGCGGCGCCAAGAGATTCATCGTCGCTACCAAAGTCTTGAAGCTCCGCGAAGAGGCTCTGGCCAGCCGTTTGGGGAGTACCGCCGCTGGTGTAGCTGGCAGGACTGCTTCGTATATTTGGTTCTTCGCTGCTCTGCCTCGAGCTGCGAGAAAACGGGTTTCGATTGAGTCTGAACCGGCTTCTTTGAGATGATATAGTACCTGTTGGCGTACGCAAATCGGCGAGTTCATCTTCATCTGCTGAAGTAGAGGCTGTACTGTCGAATGAGTCCCGGCTGCCTGTTCTTGCTAAACCAGCAGGGAGGCTAGGCGGGCGCTTCATCCGACCGAACCCTCTAGAAGCGCTTTCAGTCTCCGTCTCATTGTCGTCGTCATCGCCAGACAATGCTTCGTTTCCGGTCTCGAAGTCCTCCGTCTCAGTAGCACGTTCATTGGCAGTCTCAAAGGCAGACTCGCTAGCTTCATTGGCCGTCTCGAAGTGATCGCTCGTGTCAGTCGGATGTGATCCCTCCACATTGCGACGGAATCCACTCGCCGAGGGACCCGGCGGCAACATATCAGCGTTATCCTCCCAATCGGGATCATCCATCATGATCTCTTGTTTGCTGGACCGAAGGGTTCCCAGAAGGCGAGCAGGCTTCTTGAATTCTTTTGAGTCTATCTTGCGGTTACGACGAGAATTGGAAGGGGCGCCTGCATCACCTCTCGCCTTCTCCAGATCATCTCGCAGGTCTTGGATGATTCGACGCAACTCCAGCTTTTCGGTCTTTTCTCGGTGGAGTTGGTTTCGCTGGCTCTGGATTGTTCTCTGCGCGTGATGGAGGGATGATTTTATAGTCTCGGTCTCGAGCATTGCGTGTCGAGGTGTGCCTTTTACTGGAGATGGTGGTGGCGAGTGCTCAGGCGTGATATTATCTGTTGCAGTCTCAAAATCCTCATCGCTGAAACCAGACAGTGACTCTCGGTCTATTGTACGTCCTCGTTGTGACGAGAAGGCTTTTGCCAGCTCTTGGTTCTGGTTAGTCAAGTCATCAATCTTGCGTTGCATTGCCGCTCTCTCGCTGTCAGCCATGACCATGTTGCGTTTGGCAGTGCCCATCTCGATGTCAAGGTGCTTCATAGCAGCCGCATGCTCCTCAGCCAGTTTAGAATGAGATAGTTTGGCATCATCTAGCTCTTTCTGGACCGATGTCTTCTCAGAATTGGACAAGTTCAAAGCTTGGGTGAGCTTCTTCTCACGATCCGCTGCATCTCTTTGCTGCAAGGCAATCTCTTGGAGGCGAGTCTCAAGGTTCCAGTTCTCCTCTTTGTATCGATGTTCGCTTTCATCCAATGTTTTGAGTCGCTGCTGTAGGCTCTCTGATTCAATCTCGAGCCTGGTCTTTTCCGATTGAGCACTCTTGAGTTCGTCATCTCGCTCAGACAGTAACGCTTGTAGATTTCGGACTTGGGCAATAAGGGAGGTGCTGATTTCAGCGGCAAATTCAATGTCGTGAACTCGATTTGACGGCTGATTTCTGACTTTGCGATTCGGAACGCTCAGCTTGGTTGGAGAGCCAGTGGCCTGGCTTTCGAACTTGGAGGGGCTCACAGAACGCTGTCGTCAGCTTGGTTAGCTCAATACACCACAAAGCACATGGTGAGGGAAAGAAAGAAAAAAACAGCCATCCTTACCCTTCCGCTTCGCCCTTCTGGCACAAAGGGCGAGCCCGGGTGTGCTTCATTGCTTGGCACCCTCTGTTTAGGAAGAAATACCCTAGCAGACTCCCTGGCTAAGTCATTATACTCCCGCTCAATGTCCACGAGCTTCTTGCGCAATTCTGGACCAAGCTCGCCTTCGGCCTGAAGCTTCTGCACTTCCTGCAATCGCTCAGCCAACAGCTTGCGCTGGGCGACGAGGGAAGTGCCCAATTTCCCTGCCTCATCTAAACGACGATCTGTTTCTGCGAGATGTGCTTCCAGGGCTTTCCTTGCCTGTCTAGGTGAAGAACCTGGCCCGGCAGCGAACAGTTCTAGGTCGAAATTGGAGAACCGGTAATGGGCGGATGAAGACGAGTCGGTAACGAAAGGGTCGTTGGCAGTATCCCCATCAGCAGGAGCTGGAAGATCTGGGCGGTTGTCGGGGGCTAGAGACGAAGCCATCCTGATGAACGAACCAGTTCAACAGGAAGACTGTCTACAAGCACTGTGGCACCATCAAGTTTCGAAGGCTCCGTGGCAAAGAAGATCTGCGGCCCGAGGAAGCAGCCGCAGGTTAAAAACAAAAGAGAGGTGAAGGATGCGGCCGTCCAAAGACGGAACTTGTACGTCGCAGTCCGCAAATCCTTTAAAGCAGGAAAAAAAGGAAGAGACAGGACACGCACACTTATTAAGGCCTAGGGTCAAAGTTGGGCAGCCCCCCTTGCGTGAGCAGGGACAATGCAATGCTGCAGGGGGGGTTGAGAGCTCGACAACAGATCAGAGCACCTGAAAAAGGCAGTTCCAGCTGCAGCCAGCTCACGGCGGCGTCCACGAATGTCAGTCAGCAACGGATGGCTAGCGAAGCAACAGAAAAGAAGGGGCAAAATCGAATGATCCAAGAGTGACGTTTGCGTTCAACGTTCGCTGGCAGCCGACGCACTGTGCAGGGCGAGATTGTATTGAGAGGCTGGGTTCAACGAATGTGGTTTGTCCCTCGTAGTACTGTTGGCGTCCGTCGGTCGTTGGAATTGGCGGACCCCCTCGCAACATGCGATAGCCTGCAGGCGCTTGGGTGGGCAGGGTAGCTACTAGGTAGATAATCACCTCGAACGGGATGGCCTCGGGCGGCAGGAGTAGACACGGCGACGTCGTGGTTGTGACGAGCTGGAATGGTACGCGCCCTTGGGCTTGTTGATCATTCCCAAGCACCAGGACCACCTGGGCCAATCCAGGTACAGTGAGGTAACGATTGGTTCGCAGAGAAAAAGGTTTTTTTTTTTATAAAAAAAAAAGGGCCGTCGGGGCCAGCAAAGTGCGTGTGCGTCTGGAGGGAAATAAATACTAACTAGTAGGTAGCTTGGCCTCGAGGGCACACTAGTAAACAGAGCGAAGAGACGGAGCGTGTTGGAAATAACGCAGCACAGTTAGTTGGCGGTGGTTTGGCTTTAAACTTTGGAGCGGAAAGGTAAATTCGGAAATTCCTCTGAAAAGGTTTCCACAGAGCACAACAAGCACACGAGGTATGCGCCAGACACAATTGTGGCCAGGCAGGGCAGGTGCGACGACGTCGTCTTTTTTGCCTTTGACCTGGCGTTGCTGCCAAAAACAACATTGAACTTGACACGGCATAAGACGCGTAGCGGCGGGACTAAAATCGGCACTAAACTACGTCGGGCCAATGCTTTTTCTGCCTCGACATCAATTTGAACCGTGTCACCGGGTTCGATGCAGACAAGACACCAAAGCAGAATAGGCACAGTCCAACGTGCTGACCAGTCCGGCGCACTAGCTCAGAATGACACTACTCTGTATGGGGTACATGTGGTAAACAAAGGAACGAGTGTTGGCCGTGGTTGGCCAGACACGAGGAACAAAGAAATACTACATGCCACCGACTGCGGAGTACAATACGATACAATACATACATACAATACAGCACACGTCTAACGTCTGTCTCTGGTCGCAGATATTGCTCAGCCATGCCCGTGGCTTCCTCTGTTGCCAGGCGGACAAGGAATAACTACATGCATCTCTTCGGAGGTACCCTCAGCTCGAGCCTTCAGTCGACATGGTCAACTGTCTCGTGAGTCGTGAACAACGGTGGCTACCAAAGAATAATAGCATAGTACTCCGTAACGTATACGGAGCTGTGGACCATGACTAGGACCAGGCCCAGCACTGCGCCTTGCCCGTGTTGTTAGTACTACCAAAGTTATGGTGTTGTCGGTTCTCTATAGAAAGAAGCCGGGCGTTGGGGATAGGGCATGGGGCAATTAATATTGAGTCCAGGATCCATGACATGCCCTGAACCGGGACGTCAGGCAATACAGCGTACATATGTACGTAGTAGAGACAGAGGGAGGGACGGATTACATGAGCTCGGATGCCAGTTCACGAGCCGCAATCAAGCAACTGTTGGCGTACACACGGCATTGACATGTCTGGCCTTTTCCGTTGAAGGTGCTGCTGTCGAGTCAACTGACGGGCCATGGCTCAAATACGCGGCGATTCCGTCGCAACTCTGACCATGGACGAACAAGCGCCTGTTTCATTTATGGAATGCCGCGACCATCAGGCGGCAACAGTCACGAAATCAAAAATCCAAACGTGGATGCCATCGTAAACCGTGGTGCTGATGACGGGCCCACTCTCACGACGCAAACAATAACACAACATGCGCTCCGTACTCGGCCATACAGACGAGCGGGTTGCACAATGATAATAACTAGTGCGTAGCACTCGTGGGCTGGTTCTACGCGCCGGTGCGTCGCATTAAGAGACGTAATTTCCCAGCCGCTGAATCGGTGCAGGGACATGGCGATGCCTATTTCATCATCCATGCACTTCGCTTATTTTCAATTACCTAGGTACGTACGTACTCCTAATCGTGCGCGCGACGCCAAAACGGAGTTTCGCACTCACATGACAGAAGAGGCAACAAAGGTACGGAGTACCTAGTTACCTTCCTTTCGTTCGTGGAAGGCACTGGATCCACTCATTAGTCACCTTTCCAGAATCTTAATATGCTCCCCACTTGTCCCACCAGACTTGGCCAATGTCGCCTTTAGTCATGACACTTGATCAGTCAGCTTCTAGTGACAAATTTGGCTAGGTACTCAAGATTATGAGTCTCGACATTGAACTTGCGACCGAAAACATTGACAACATGGATTCAAACGATGCTGGAGCTGCCATAGAGGCGAATGCACCTGTGGCGCTATTCAAAAAACGAGGTCCCAAAGGCAAAGCGAACATCAGAAAGCGACCGGCGACACCGCCTCCAGCCAACAGCGACAGCGACAGCGACTACACGTCGTCTGAAGACGAATCCGGGCAGCATGTGAAGCGGCGGAAGAAGAATGCCGCAGTTACTGTCTCATCAAAAGACGCCCCCACGGTTGCCCAGGACTTAAACGCAACTGTGTTCAAGGCGAACCGAGATTTGCCAATTTCGAGTTCCAACGACGCGACAAAGCAGAGCAACTGGTACGACGATGGCACAAAAGATGACCTTTCTGCAAAAACCTTGCTCGGTTCATCAAAATCAACGGCCAAACCTTCCCAGGCTGATGGCACATACAAAGGGCTGGCGAACCAGACGTCGTTTATCCAGAAGAACCCCGACGCACCCAAGAAAACTGTAGGGCCCATCAAGGCGCCAACGAACATCCGAACTATTACTGTTACAGACTTCGCCCCTGATGTATGTAAAGATTATAAGAAAACAGGTACGAGCAGGCACATAGTGTTAATTTCATTGGGCCCTACCTGATGTATTGGGATGGGTCGCAAAAAAAAGAATACGTCACTAACAAAAAAACACCAGGTTTTTGCGGTTTCGGTTCGAACTGGTAAGTGTTTCACTTCCTGCTGCTCCCTCAGCACTGGCTCGTCGCCAACCTATATCAATCAGTTGCGATCTTGTGCTAACACCGCGCCTCTATTTAGTAAATACTTGCATAGTCGCGAAGATTACAAGCATGGATGGCAACTTGATAGAGAATGGGATACCGTCACCAAGGGCAAGAAGAGCTTGGGAGGTACCGTTGTAGCCAGCGCAAAACGTGACAAAACCGACGGCGACGATGACGACGACGATAATGACGACACGCTGCTACAGAACATCCCGTTTGTTTGCATCATCTGTGAAGAATCGTACAAGTCACCCATCATTACACGATGTGGACACTACTTCTGCGAGCCATGCGCGTTGAAGCGGTATCGGAAAGATCCGACTTGCGCAGCGTGCGGAGCCGCAACGAATGGAGTGTTTAACTCTGGCAAGCGACTGAACAAGTTGCTGGATAAGAAGCGCGAACGAGAAGCGCAGCGGAGACAAGCAGCTTTAGAAGCGGGTGAAGAAGTTAGCGACCAAGAAGATGAGTGAATGTCGGGCAGTTTTTGTTCATATGTATACATAATTTGTGGGGGCTTAGGGATGTACGGAACATGCTTATTAGCAGACGAAGGATCTATGAAGGAATGATACCAGGTTGCTGTGAATAGAAATTGGGCTTCTTTGTGTTTCGGGGTCATGAATAGAACTTGAGGCTATTAGGATAATTCCTATACATCAGCCCAACAAATGGCAAACCATTTCGCCTTCGCTTTTGTACTCTGTCTCGACTGATGACGTGACTGTCATGGGAGCTGGATGGCTTGCCAGCGTTGTCGATAAGATAGAGCTCGACTTTGGTATACCCCACCATGGCCGCCTCCCCTCCAATCATGGTCTTCGTCACCCCACCACCCCCTCCATGTCATCCGCCTCATCTCCGTGCCTGGCAGCTCGTCACTCAGGCGGAGCAAGTCATCAGGCAACTTCGGCTTTTTGGGGGTCTGCTTCTTGCTCATCTGCTCACAACACCAGCAAATCTTGCCTGCCTTTAAAGCAGTGACTAGAATTTTGGACCTGAAATCAAGTTTCCTGCCATCGGTTTTACGTCAACGGACTATATCAAATCAAGCCTTGATACGCACAACCTGGCTCTCTAGATAGCTTACGACGACACATCTAGCTCCCAGAACAAGAAGGAGCCATGAACTACATACGGTCGACGGTTAACACCCTCCGGGACCGGTACACTCCTGTATCGCACAACTCGACATTCCGACAAACCGGCCAGGTCACTCCAGAAGAATTCATCGCGGCGGGCGACTACCTGGTGTACAAGTTCCCGACATGGTCCTGGGGCGATGCTGACTCTGAGGACCGGCGGGTGAGCTACCTCCCCGCAGGGAAGCAATACCTCGTGACACGGAATGTGCCCTGCCACCGAAGGCTGAACGACGATTTCGCCGGAGATGCGGGCCACGAGGAGGCCATCGTCAACGATGGCGATGACTTCAAGGGCGCGGGTGGAGCAGCAGACGACGATGGCTGGCTGCGAACCGGCGGGCTGGCCAGCTCACAGCCTCTGAAGGCACGGGACGTCAGGGCGGTTGATGACGCGGGGAACTTGGCTGATACAACGGACCTGGACGACGACATTCCCGACATGGAGGATGAGGACGACGACGACGCCATTATTCGTGACACGAGTGCCGAATCCAAGAGCGCGTTGGTGCCTCTTTCTTTCCTTCTTTCCTCCTCGGGTGCATGATGGCTGACCTTTCTTCATCTCACAGCGGACGGCGAACATATACCCTGTACATCATGTACTCACCGTACTACCGGACTCCGCGTCTCTACCTCTCGGGCTACCTGCCCAACGGACAACCCCTCCCGCCGCAGAGCATGATGGACGACATTGTAGGCGACTACAAGGACAAAACCGTCACCCTCGAGGACTTTCCCTTCTTCGCCAACAACATCAAAATGGCTAGCGTGCACCCATGCAAGCATGCCTCCGTCATGAAGACGCTTCTCGATCGTGCGGACGCTGCTCTTCGTATTCGTAGGGACAAGCTCCGCTCCGGCAAGGCCGTTGGAAGTGATCCCGGCATGGAGGGCCTGGTAGACGAAGTGGCCAAGCTGGATGTCAAGAGTGCACAGGAAGCTGCCGACAAGGATGAGTGGGAGGAGGTTGAGGGTGTGGATGCTGATGAGCACGAGGTTGCCATCCGGGTAGATCAGTATCTCGTCGTTTTCCTAAAGGTTCGTATTCACCACATTTTTATCACTTATCGCCCAAGAAGAGGCATTACGGTGTAGGTCGACATGGTAAACTAATCGGCATCTTTCTAGTTCATGGCAAGCGTCACACCAGGCATCGAACACGATTTCACGATGGGGGTGTGAGCAAGATTTATCGCTGGGCATGGTATGGGGTCTATCTTGATGCACTGTGCCGGCTTGTGAAATGACTGGTTAGCCTTCTTGTTTTTTATTTTCAAAGCAGCATTAGATTAATTGCATGATTGACATTTCCAGTATTTTCGGTACAGTGAGCATGAAACTTGGACCATGGGATGCTAATGTACAGATCTTGTCAGTTCCGCCCCGAAAGGTTACCGTTGCTCTCGCTGAGAACTGCAACCGTACAATTGTCTTGTAAAAACCAAGGTATTCAAACTCCCTTTTTTTGGCAACTCGTATCGAAACTCGGACTCCAGTATACATTAGCCAAATATATGGTGGGTGTGAAAAATGAAAATGACTATAAACGTGAATATGAACAAGAATAATGATGAGAATATTGACAAGAACAGAATGGGTTGGACGGCACCCTCCAGCGGCACACCGTGATCCAAAAATGCTATGATGCTAATGCAATGCTACGTGTCTATCTGCCAACGAGTCCATGCCAACTGTCCACAGTCATAACGTGTCCATATCAGCTGTGCCACTGATGGCACATGGGTGAAGAGTAACAAAGAAAATGGGTATACGTCGGAAGCGCGATTCAATAAATAAATAAAAATATAGAAAAAGATAAACCCCTCTGTATGATAAAAGGGTATTTTTGGTCCATCCTAAGCTTGATGGATAGATTCATGTGGAGCCAAAGGGAGCCCCAAAGTTGAAAGTATTCTTGAACCTGAGAGGAACGTCTGGTTCAACACTAGCTTTTCCGTCTTCTCCCTCCTCGTCGCTTTCCAGGTCGGCACCGGCTTCTTGTTTTCCACCCTCCTCTGGTGGTGGCTGGAGCGCAGTAGGCAGCAGATTCTGGACAGCCTCAAGCTCTGGAGATTGAAGGACTCTGGGCAATGCGTCCTGACCTCGACTGATGGGATCTAGCCTCTGATTGACCTGTGCCCAAAATATCTCGTCCTGGGCTGGTATATTCTTTACCATGAGCGGGCCCTTGAGAGCGACATCGTCAGAGGGCTCCAAGTAGCCTTCGATATCATCATCATTCCTGTCACCATCCTGATTGCCTTCGCCATTATCCTCTTCGCCATGCCGAAGTTTGCCATCAGAATCATCGCTGAGATCTGTGTCTTCATGGTGATCAGCAAATCCAGAAGATGCCCCTGCAGTTGGCGTAGTCTCCTGACTTCTGGCAGCAGCCGAGCTGCTCTCAGTAGCGGTCATGGTGGGGAATAGAGACAGCGAATGGTTTGGTGTATGCCCAGCATGCATCGTTAGGCGTCGAGATTCATCGGTAGCCAGTATTTGCTTTGTTTGATCTTTTGAGGAAGCGAGAGGAGTGAGACCGCATCGAAGCCGATCGAGTCGGAGCCTTTCCCGTATGGAATTCCCAGTCTTTTGTTTAAGATGGTTGTCCTTGCGAGTGCCTGTCGCTGGTTCGGGGGCATAAAGTGATCTTGGAATGTTGCTAGGCCGGTTTGATGCTGCATGGAAGGTTGATTTTTTGACCGCGGTAGCTCTGATCGGAATACCCTCCAATTTAGGGTCTATTTCCTGGATGTCAATGATGGGAACACCCTTATTGGGTTCTGGTGATGAAATGGAGAGGAAATCGGTGGCGATAGACTTCCGAGGCACTATTCGAGGACTTATGGGTATATGAGTGGCATGTGCAGGAGCCGCAGTAGGGGAGGTACAAGGACTACCCCCCTGCTTGGCAAACTGATGAGGGCGCCGAGAGGCACCATCTAATCCAGGAGGCAGATCGAAGGATGCCAATGCTTCGCCGGCACTCCGTCCAGAGAGTCGAGGTGGCGGAGATTTGTTTGAAGCGAGCGAGGGCGAGTGACTGACAAATGCCTCCCCACTGCCGCTTTGGACACTGTTGTGAGGTGATATTAGACCGGGGATATGTGTGGTATACGAGGCAATTTTCTTGAGGACGGTGTTTTCCCCTTCCAAACGTTGGATGCGTTCTCTGAGCCCTTGTATAAGATGCGACATTTCTTTCCGCTCATTCAACCATTCCTCACTCATTTCGTCAATGACTGATTGCTGGTCGCGGTACAGCCTTTCGGCTTTTCGTCTGAGGGCCTCGAGGTTGCCACGCTCGAGTCTCCAGTTCTCGACCAATGATGAATGGCCAGCCAGTCCGGTATAGAGCCGCGATGGCGTCTGGGGAGGAATTGCTGCATCGGCAGACACGGACCTTGCCAGAGAGGCGCCTCCAAAGTCCCAGGCGGCAGGTGGTGAAAGCGAAGAAGAGTTGGGATGAAAGTAACCACGTACTCTGCCTTTGGAAGAGTGGGCGGTGCCGGCGGCGGCAACAGGTGATGTCGAGTTGGACAAATTCAACGGTGACGGCGTATCCAGGTGCGTGCCAGCCAAAGGAAAGTTGAAGTGTGAACGGTTGGCACTGGGAGGGTTTAAAACGGGAGGGCTCTGTATGGCGGCATGTCGACTCGGCGAGGAAACTGATTGGCCGTTGCAGTGGTTGGAGAAGGCGTCGCCGGAGGGACTCATGGTTGAGGTTGGCTGTGAGGCATCAAAAGCGGAATGGGACGCTGCTCCGCCTATTGAGGCGTCGTTGGTTGGGATGTCGATGGCACCAGAGGGTAGAAAAGCGTCCGACTCTGACGTGCGTTTGGTCATTATGGAAAATGGGATGTCACAGCCAACACTCTGCACCCCTGGAAAGCTGGAAAGCTGGAACCAAGAGGACCCAAGGTGTGGTAGTACTGACGTATTTACTCTCCCCGTGCCCTCGGGGGCCGGGGGGAGAACAGTTGATGGGATTTGTATTCAGACCGAGGTCAGAGCCGGGCGACGGCAGTGCCAGGACGCGGGCAGCGGCAGAGAGGTAGCAGCAGAGGAATGGTCAAATCGGCACCGAGAGCGAGGACGGGTCGGAAAAGGGTCGACAGCACACTGCAATGGCATGCGGTTTATGCGCCAGTCCCGGGGAATGGTCTCGTGGCTGGCTGACGAGGCTGGCGGATGACGACGGTTGGACGAATGGATGCAGGCGCTTTGAGTCAGGCTGACAGCAAGTGTTTGGTGTTTTTCCCGTGCGACCCCAAATATGCTGGCGGCCCAGATTGCCAGAGAAGACGACGGAGCAGGCGGCTGAGACTCGGTGTGTGCGTCGAAGGCTGCGGCAGGTATTGAAGTAATACGGAGTATTGAAGCAATATTTGTCGCTGTGGCCGAGTTGGGTGTCGGGTGATGGAATGGGCCAGGGACATGGGACATGGGACATCAGCCAGCCGAAGCACAAAGCGGGCGAGATGCGAAGGCGGCGCTGATGACGGTGTTGTCGCAAAGGATTGCGCCGTTGTGCTGGTTGTCGAGCGAATAATCAAAGAGCGAGAGGAGCGGACGTTGAATGTGGCAGGCGGAGGGGAGGGTATGTTGGGAACCCTGCGCGAACGGAAGTAACTCGGTAGTACTCTGGAAATGTGATTGATGACTTGGATGGTTGAGCGCTGGAACCAGGCTGGGACAAATTAGGCGCGCCAGGCGGATGAGAATTGATTGATTGTTTGATTGATTGACACGGACCGGACGGACGAGTAACAGCGTGGCGGCGTGGCCATTGCTGGGGCAGTTTGAGGGAGATTGAGGGTCCAGAAGTCGAGATGTCGGTTCGGAACGGTGAATCGCGGCCCATCAAACCAGCACCAGACAGTTGGCGGGGCCATTTACTGGGCCTTGCCTCGCCCTGGCTCACCAAGAGGCACCCGCGAAAGGGCAGCATTGAACTGCAGCCAACTACTCCGTACAGCCTGCCGTATCCTCGGCTCATGCACGCAGTCACCTGAAACCCTGAATTTCTCCCGGCTTGGAACGTTCCTCGACCGGTGCACTTGGTGTTCACGATGCGCTGCGCCGCATCAAGAAGGACGTCAACGTTCGACGGCCGTTTTTGGCCCCCACCGAAACCACCCACAATGGCCCGGTCCATGTTGACTTGAGCCCAAACGCAGGAACTCATCCCACTAATTGATCCCTCCAGATGGCTTGCTCGGCGTCGGTCCCCTTGGGCCTGGAGGCTGTTTTGTTTGTGCGCCCCTCGTTTGCGCGGATCAACACCCACTGCCGTCAAGCTGCCTCACCAATCCGTCCCAATTGGAACCTGTCCGCCAACCCGGTGCATATCAGCCTGAACTGGCTCCTACCTCCTTCTATCTTTTGCCTCTGCCACTAGGTACTGGCGACGTGGACCTTGTCTACTCGTGTATGGGACCGACGTTTTGGAGGAAGGGCAAAGGGACGCAGCCACGCCCGCACATCTGGCTGGAGGCTATTCGCCTATTCCCCGTACCGAGGAGACCATACCAGATTTTTTTTTTTTTTCCTTTTTTCTGTGTGCGAACCGGGAAGAGTACACGACGTCTGCTAGCTGTAGCACAACACAACCTCAGATCGCCTCTTATGAGCGAATTTCTTGCATGCTCGACAGCATCGACCAAAGAATCCGCAGAACGGTCCGTCAGATGCGAGACCCCTCTACGTCCAGACTTGACCATGGCTCAACCCAAAGCTGTCCTGATACAATCCCTGTCCTAGACACCTCAACTATCCGACTGGCGTCCACTTGGGCTCGCACCTTGAGCATCTCCGGGTCTTGCAGGTGGTCCGGTCCCTTGCTCACCACTTGTCGCTGCCCTCCAATATTTTACTACTTTCAAAGCCCACCGGAGGACGCCCTGTAGTAGCCCTCCCGCTGTTCCCGTTTTTGGCTGATGAGCTGGCAATGCAGGTGAGTAGTTGATCAAGCATAGGCGTTGGATCCCATATGAGCCCATTTTCATTGAATCCGCGAGAGAAGCGTCAAACCGTAAATGACGAGGCCGACAAAGACGCCTGGGAAATGAATCCGCCAGTGGCATGTCATCGGATGATGGGCATCTTTCACATGCCTTTGCTAGTTGTTGTCTTCCTGACATCGTCGTCAATGTGACGTTCCCTTAATGCGACCAGGGTCACGTCCCATGTTGTGTGGCATCGCACGGAGTATTTGGCTTTATATGAGCCACCACGTACGCACAAAACGGCTTTGGTCCGAATCAGCTGCTGCCCCGTCGGAATAGGAATGGGGATACATATTCTACACAGGCCGTCTGTTTTGGCTTATTCCCCCGTAAGACCGCAGACCTGCGTGGTGACATGGGGTGTAGACCGCAGCGGTAGGTCCGTTAGGTGTTTGATGTATTTCGCAACAGGGCAATGACTTGCTGGTTATGAACGAGCATGTCTAATCCCATTCTAGGCGGCGGTGGTGTATGAATACCAACCCGGAGCGACCATGTCCACACTTCGAGTGTTTGGTCAGGACGGCCGTGTGAAACGCTACATCCATCTTACTCTGGAGCTTCCAACGGAACAAAACACTCTGATCCTGATCCTGTTTGGACTGATGTCCTGCCGGGTGCGCGGGATTTGGCCCTCCAGCCCGAGACAAGCACAAAAAAGGTGTACGGCTCGGCGGTAGACGTCTCTCCTCTGAGCTAGCAAGACTTTCCCGCCGAGAACAAAGTCCGTGATGTGGAATGATGGAAAAAGCAAACGCTGCCGATCATCTGCAAGTCGGCATGATAGGAGTGCCACGAGATCAATAGACTCAACAGAAGGAACAAATCTAGCATTTCTTCCGTTTCTCATGGGCCCCATTAAATCCCGCTGCCGTGAATTCTTGGGCTATAATTCCATGCTACGATGGGAATGGGGCAAAAGTGTAGAAACCTTGATAGTATTAAAGTTTCCTGCACAATAAATGCACATGCCTCTGGGTGACCTCTACATTTGCATCCTCTACTGACAACTCTTAAACTGCAGAAGAAAACGTAAAATATAATTGACTAGACCGGATACCTAGCTATCATATAATATACTTATTGATAAATGAATGTTTTTGTAACATAAATCCTACTACTACACTATATTTGATATTTCATAAATAAAAGCCTTTTATTGTACTATTCGTAGCAAAATGTGCTATGCAAAGAGATGAGTTCTAGTCTGCGTGACACTCACGAAAATGATTTATATAGCCACACCAGGCAATGAAACTCTGACACATGAAACACATGAACTAGGGAGCTCAAGGTTCGTGTTTGAAATCACGCACCTTTTCGCTAGATATGAGGTTACCTCAGTTACTAGGAGACAGGGAGGAAGCCATGCACTGCAGTGCACGATGATGGATCAACGACTGAACCAAGGTCAGTGACAAGGCAAGGGACAGCAACCAAGCACGAGTCAGGAAACGATTGAGGATGAAGAACGAAGGCAATGGCGGATGAAGGGAGCCTGGAAGCAATGTCCCCTGGCGTGGTCGCCAAAGATAGGATTCGCAGCAAAACGGGTTGGCTGGAGGCCCCAAGTTCATTCTTGTGCGGGCACAGCCCAAAACTACCTATGAGTCTGGAATGCAGAGCAGAGTCCCTGCTGATGAGGGATAAAACACGGCAGGTGCAAACCTGCATTCGAGGGTGTAGCGTGAGGCGTGAGGCGATGGGAAACCCAGTGCCGCTTCTAGACGGTCGAGAAGGCAGAGACCAAGTTTAAAACTTCCCGAGGGAACTTGGCAGGCACATCCGTGTTATAACTCGACGACGACATTTCGTCCTCGTCGAGAAAAGTTTCGAGGAACTCCTGGGTGTAAATGAGATGATGCGCATCTCCGGCCATGAGACTGGTTGAAATCTGATCTAGTTGGCAGATGAATCATGATGAGAGAAGACGCAAAAAGATCCCTCCTTGAACCACGTCTTTGGGCGCTTGAAAGCAGTTTCTTCTTCTCTACTCAAATTCACTCCTAGGTTGCTAATACGGTCATGCCTCCCCCCAGGGAAGTAGCGATAGTCACACCCAACTACTAGGTATCAAGTGTCTCAGAGCCCAGTCACTTCTTGTAGTTTACTAGGCATCTTGGAGTATGTTTGTACGTTAACGATTATACACCCTTGGTACCTTGTAATATACACTGGTATCCTACAGTATATGGATCCGGTTAATCAGATGCAGAAACTCGGTAATCTTGAGCCATCATCCCGGATATCGAGATGGAAAATCCACATGCAAAAGACTCTATGCATTGTTTAAAGTTCCCTCGTTTAAAGCGAAATAAGGAGCTGGACTTCCAAGAGCATGAGAGTCGCAACAGCTAGTGAACTAGTTATATCCTCACCCAAAATGCATCAACTGCCAAAAACGTTGCTCTCTCCTCACACCCTAATAACAGCCACGTTCGGTGTATCAAGAACCAAAACTTCTTCTTCTTCTTCTTTTTTTTTTTCTTCACAGAGTTTTGACCGCGGCAACAATATATTTGGTGAAAATGCCTGACTGCGATATTGCAATCATCTTGCAAGCCAACTCTGGCAGAATATATTTGCATATCGAGAAGTATACACCAGTATACTAAAGTACGGAGTATATTCACCTAAACGTGAGAGGTACCCAAAGTCAGTGTTACCATGCGCCTCGTATTACATGTCCACGAATGAAGCCGCTTCAATCACAATGTCGACTTCACTGCCCCTTCTGAGATTGACATTCATCGTGCTTGCACGACCCAAGGTTCAAAAAGTCGTGGTAATTACTGCGTATTCCAACACATCTTGTGTTCCAAGGCAAGGGTTTTCGTCTCGGATCTCCTTCATCGTGAATCTTCCACTAGTTGCTTCAGATCCCGTCGGGTGTCATGGCTGGAGCGCGTAGTACGGGGTACAGGGCGCAAAAGCTAGGTCATGATCTAATTAAATGCTTTTTACCTCCTACTATACGCGCTCAGAAGGCCTTGCGGACGTTTCTCTTATTCAAAATCAGGTTCGCATGAGAAATAGGGTCCAGGGTCAAAGCAATCTCATGTTAAAAAAGCACGGTGGAGAGAAGTTTATGCCATTATTACACGAGAAATGTCAAACAAGTATGGGGATAAGTTGGCAGCCTTGGATGAGAGTATAAATAAGGTGGGAAATCATGATAATGATGAAGAAGATAATCACAACGAGGATGATGATGATGATGATCCTGCCACTATGGATGTTGCATTTGACCATCGAGTCACGAAGTAAGGAGATCCAGCCATAGCTGCTCTTGGCCGAATATCCCCAATATCGGGCGCTCAGTGTGTCCTTCTACCATTTTGGTCCATGGATGTACGGATGTGACTACTGTTTGACCACAATCTTGCAATATAGTCTAATTTGATCCAGTAGATACTACTTATGCAAACCTTTCTTTGAAGAAAAGAACGGTCAAGACAAACGTCCGAGGATTCGCTCTATTCTAATATTCTTATGAGATGCAGTTTCTGGGATGAAAAAGCGTCTAATGCCATGTTGGGGTCGTCTTCTTATTGGGGCAGCAACACCCACTACCTCGTTACTAGGTAATCAACGTCGCTGTGAATCCGAAGCTTTTGATGGAGGAGCGTACCTTTCAAAGAGAAAATATGGCTGGAAGGCCTTTTGACTTACTAGGTAGGTACCCGAGGAGCTTAGTACCAAATTCTAACCCCCTAAGCAGTCCAGGGTCCAACGGTGTATCTCTTTCTACAAGCTTTTGAAGCATCCCGGCACAGCACCGTATCGAATTGTTGATGCGTCTTTTCCAGTGAGCTCTAGTAAGTAGTGGCAGGCGTATCGATCGAAAACGGTGGCCTATTGGTCACAATATTCGACAGATACATCGTTGGAGCCTTAACTGCTTTGAGAGCATACATGAAGGTCAGTCACCTGGCGAAGGCGCTAGCACCAAGTCTCGACGGAGCACACTTGCTCCAGTTACAGCATAGACCGCGGGTGTAAAGAACAAATACGCGCCCAAAAGGACTATCTTGGTCGGCGCGCTGCCGGATGATCCCATCTTGTGCCTTTGCACATGCTTACACAGTGCATCGCTTACCGTCCGGGTACATAACAAAGTGTTAAAAAAAAAAGGGAAAAAAGGAAAAAAAAAACACCGGAATGGCGCATATTGGACCGTGGTTCCAGAAGGTCCGCCAAGAAGTTTGCTTATTCGATTTTTCTTGTCGAAACTCTTGGCCAGCGGTCGACAAACTCGATGAGGAGTCAGTCCAACATCTGCCAAGCTCATGTCCAAGAAGTTGCTGTCTGCTATCATGGGGCCGAGACCGACTTCGCCTCCTTTTCTGTCAGCATCGTATGGCCTTGCCAATTGGACTACTTGGTGACATAACTAGTGGGAGGCAAAAAGCATTGCAACATACTATGTACCTGGCAATCGAGAGATGTACTATCTAAAGTATGTTAGTACACATGTATAACTTGTTAATAGGCAGATATATTTTGCCGTAGACTGTGCGTGTTTGCTGGCGTAGCATCTACAATATATGCAGAGTACTCGTAGCCAAGACTTCACATGGAGATTGATGTCGCCTTTCGACGATATTGTTGGTCGAGCGTTGCCGTTCTAGAGGGCGCGCATAGCCACGGTGACACCGGGCGAGCAAAGGCTGTGTTCGTGAATCATGGCCCCCTAGAGTCGTGGACCTGCAGGTTTAATTGAGATGGCGGAATACAACCTTGGTAACGTACACATGCATGTTTACATGTGGTTTGGAGGAGCACCCCACACCCTGAGCGTGTGAATATACCTGGTACGGCGCATCTCGTGCTGGGCTGGTCGGTGAGGTGATCGCCAGCTAAAGAGGAGCTAAACGAACAAGCTTTTTGGCCGGCCATGGTGCGAATGCCAATCTATGATCGCTACCTTTCTTTGAATGGGAAAGGCGAGAGCACCGTAGTAGCAAAACTAGCGGCCCTAGCCGTGAGTTTGGACGCAGGCAAGAAGTCCTCCTGATAGGCTCAAGGTAGTAGTGAGTAAAGTCGAAGTGAAGCTTGCCGATAAGCTTGTGGAGCAGTTTCATGCAACCGAACATGCATGGAAGGACTCGACCAACTCTAACCAGTGTCATCCACCCATCCATCATCCACCATTGCGTTTTCTGACGCAGTGCGACTCTTTAGGACGCGCCAGCTTCCCGGATGAAGCGGGGTTCAATTTCCATGTCGATGGCCCTCATATCCCACAACAGCAGTTACAGGCGTACAAAAGATGCAATGGTACTGCTTGGCGTCCAAGTCGAAGATACATGGGGAGTACTTGACGGCCGCGAGTCTTGACATAATGCATCTGAAAGGGGGCGTGTGCCGGAAGCTGGCAGATGAAAGCCTCGTTACTTCGATTCAACAAGGAAAGGAGAGAGAGAACAAGAGAAGCCCGAGAAAGGGGATGCTGCTTGCTTGACCGTCTTGGCATTTTGTTTTCCTCAATCTGTAAATTTAAACGGTAGTATTAGAGTCGCGACCGTTTTGCAGTGTATGCTGGACGGATGGGACATCCAGCCCGTGTGCCGAGACATGCCGAGTGAACAGACAACGCTGTCGGCATAGATGTCAGGTTTTTGTTTCCATCAAGATGAAGCACTGGTCAATTAGTAGGAGTCGTCTTCTGTGTGTTTGGCCATCGCGGCCACGATACCGCCGGCAAACACTCGGGGCAATGCGGCGGGGGAATTGCAGCGGACAAAAAAGACCTTTTGTCTCAGCCACGAAGTAGTAAGCCAGCAGCAGAGGCAACACCCGAGTGGCCATGCTGCAATCCATTCGGACAGTGAGCCGGTTTCCCCCCCCTTCTTCTGTTAAGCTTGTTTATCGCGGGGCGGACTGTTGGGCATCAATGCCATCGCAGACAAGCTCGAGCAACACGCATGGGCAGACGGAGCTTTTGCAAGACCGGAAGACGCTTCCGCGGAGGCTCAAGCAGGAGGCAACACGCAAAAGAAAGCATCGATTATTGCTCTGTACGGAGTAGTTGCCTCTTTGTTGGATTCGCCTATTTTGTACGACAGCGATTTTGTGCAACCCGCCTTGCTGAAGAAGTGCTGCTCAACCATGATGCAGACACATCGGTAGCATTTGGCGCCATCAAAAAATCGATGAATGAATGTCCCGTGTCGCCTTCACCGCAAACTGTTAGCCAGGCCAAAGAAAAAAAGACAAAGGACCCTCGGACCGATCTTGACGAAACATTGCTCCGTAGAAACAACCAACTGCTCTGCAAATGCGTGGACGGGACCATAGCTGGCTTGGGAGTCTGCCCGCATCAATACTAGTTAGTTGACTGGCGAATGGACCATGGACGGCAAATCGGAATGCAAGGAAACTATGACATTTCTTAAACGATTAGCTGTTGCTGAGGTATGAGATGTATGTGTATGTTAGTTGGGATGGATCGTGGATGCGCCTGCCCCGGTGTCTGAAAGCTGCATATACTTTGCGTGCACTGACCATCTGTCAGGGCTGCTGTTCACCGAAAATGCTTGATCCGATGCGCGCGTATAGGTACAGTGTACGGAGTATACGTATAGGTACAATGTGCTGTGGTGTGCTGCGGAGAAGTGACTGTCGAGCTCTCTCATCCGGAGGCGAGGTCGCCATGTGCAGTATGTGCCCTTGCGTCGTGCGTTGTCAAATGTACGTACACAGGTATATATGTATGTCCGATTTAGTGTGGTGCAGATTCGCGAGGTGGCACGTAACGAGCATTATAGCCTGTGGCGGACTATATGTGCCGATCAAGGGGTACGCACTAATATACCGTAGTACGTTGTAGTATAAGAGCGCGATAGCCAGGTACCTGAACTGGTCATATCTACAACTCACGCTCTGTCCAAATGTTGCAAGTCAGAATATCGCTACGCCCCCAGTTTCCGTCAACGCATAGTATATGTATTGAATATACGCATATACAGATAATAGTGCGCCTTTAAGCGCTTCTTTGTCACGAATAATTAGAAACGGGGAAACCGGCATCATCATAGCGACCGACAGAAGTAATGCGTGTATTAACGGTCAATCTGCTTTTTAAAAAAAAATCCATAATAAAGAATTCATATCGCTGCCTAGGGGTATGTCACTGCGTACTCCTCAAATGAATGTAATCCCGCCGCTAGAAGAAAAGGAAACGCCCAATTCGTGTCGTTACTGAGAATCCAGTGTGCCGCACTTCCGTATAAAGACAAATCAGCACCCCTTTTTTGCTGAACTCGCTGTTCAGTCTCTGCACCTTCATGTACAGTGTCTAGGGCGACTGCCATTGCAGAATGGAAAAGTATAAAACCAATTCGTCATGATATACTTCGGGGAAAATCTCGTACGCATACGATGGCCAGTCTCCATCTTCTGCACCCGTCCTCAAGAAGAATTTCACGTACTCCCAGTATTCGGGGAACCAACCTGCTTCCTCCCAATCAACCAGCCCCACAATCCTATCGTTGGACACGATGATGTTTCTGGGGCTCAAGTCCCCATGTGTAAAGACAATACGATGGCCATTCCTCTGTTGTCTGGTGAAGGCATCCCGAACCGGCCTCGGCGTGACATGTGATAAGTTTGATATCAGGTACTTGTTGAACTCGTCCTCCTTGACCAACGACGGGAAGTAGTGCGAGTGGCAGAGCCTCGAGTCCCGGAATTGGCCACCACTACAGGCACCCACCAATCTAGGGGGAGCCTGTAATGCACGCATGGTGGTGAGCATACTGCGGAGTTGGAGGGCAATGCTACGCTTCGTCAGAAGCGTCATGGTCCGCCATACTTCTGACAAGGGCCGCCCATCGACCTGGCTCATCTGAAGAACGTTGATGCCGCCGGGCTGGCTGTCGGTGGTGAGGATTTCGGGCACGGGCAGTCCTGCAAGAGCGGCAACTTGGATGGCTTCAGCTTCTTCGAGGGAAATGGTTTTGCCTGACTTGACGATGGTTTTGTCTGGGAAGAGGGTGACACTGCGATTCGAAGTGCTGTAGAGCAGGATGGAGCCTGTTTTGAACGAACTCGCTTGGTTAGAAATGACGGCGTATGAGAACTTGGAAACTTGAATATCTCAAAGAAATACGAGTTGTAAGCACAAAGGGTCTCGTACCATCTGATTCCGTGCCATGATTATCGTCGACTGTCGATGGTGAAGGCGCTGGTGCACTTTCATCCGACTGCCCCAGATATTTCCATACGACGTCGAAACTGCCCAGCAGTTTGAGCTCCGCACCAATCCCTACCACGGATTTCTCTTGCGTTACCATCATGGGAGATTGCACGGTGAAAGGGAGGTGTTTTGCGAATGGGGACGAGTTTGTGTGACTTTGTTGACACTGCGGCTGCGGCTGCGGCTGTGGCGCCGGTACCTTCAACGAGACAGCGTCGTCGAATACACGTTTGCTTCGGAGTTTTCCATTCCAAGAGGCGAAATAGAAAGGAAAGAAAGAAACGCAAAGCAAAGGAAGGGCTTCAGGCTCTGAAACTGTCAACTAGAGAACCTCAGAACCTCCATTTTCCCACCGAGGCAATTTCATTTTTATTTCTGAGCGGCGGGAATGGTCCTGACTTGCTCAGTCCTCGGTGAGGGGTTCCATCCACTTCTTATTACTGTTGATCCCTCCCCTCCCCTCTTCAGACTTGAGCACTTGAACGTGACATTGGTTTGCTTTTGTGTAGCAGGCAACCGCCCTTCGCAGGAGCATGGGATGTGACTGATCTCATGCACTGCCCGCTTCTGGCAAGCGTTGGGCGGTTTGGCAAATGGATGGACCATATTGACAGAGACCGCCATGGCTACTCCGGCTCTCAGAGGTACGATGCTGCCGCAGAGTCCTCCTTACTGAGGGAGCATGGAGTGGTTCACGAGTACTCGGTCCCGATGGGGGGGCGACATTCCCGTGGGATGATTCAGAAATAACCCGGTCCGGACCATTCGGCCTGCCCCTGGTATGTACTTCCAAGGACAAGGGCCGGCTACCTGAGCCTCTTAATGGACCGTTGTCTTCACGCGGAACAGGTGCGTAGAGGCATAAGCCAACATGTCTTGATGCGCGTAAAGTGCTCGGGCCCAGGAGCGCCTCGTGTCTGTATTTGTGTGGCGATTTGTGTGATGATGAAAAATAGAGGACAAAAGGCCAAAGAGAAAAAAAAGACCCATAAGTAGAACTCCTTGAAGGATGTTCTCCATCATCCTGGTCTGCCGAATGCCGACTGCTCGTTTCATGCTGCATGCCCTGCAGCACTATATTCTTCTTTGTCGATCTTGTCAATTCACATCAAACATTGCATATGCCGCCGACTACCACTGTGCCAAACCTCAAGGGTTGGCCCTGTGTCGATTGGTGGGAAGACGCAGCATCTTGAGAGCCACCTAATAAGAGTAAGAGTCCAGGCCTTCATGCACCTCTGTCATTATTGTTCTCGGACAAGGGTCCCAGCATATAACTGTAACAAAGGACCAGGTCAATCTCCACCTTTCTTTCATAGCATGAAACGAAATGGAAGCAAAAAATGTGCAAAGGCAAAGGGAACCACGACCAACAGGATGGAGGGAAAAAATAAAAAATAAAAAAAACCGAGTGCCTGTACCTTCAGTTCTGGGCACCCAAAAAACACAACAGCACATGAGATCAGTTTGCCCCCAACGCCATGTCCGCCTTGTGATGACTCCAACTCGCTCATGTTGCCGACCCAGACTCAACACATAAAATACCACACATACATACAACACATGCCACCCACCTTGATGACCCTTTGGCAGACTCCGCCACACGCTCTTTGTCTTGTGCGTTGTGATCGCTCAGGTCGTGCTCTCCCACATGATGACTTGCCAAATGCGGCTGTCGTGGAACGGAGCTCTGCCTACCAGTGGCTTTGTCGATCGATGGACCATTCAATCAGACAGCGACCGGGAATATTTTGGAGCAGGCGGAAAACAAACTGGGGATGATGAATCAAGCATGTAATAAGAAAAAGAATAAGAATAAGAAAGAAGACAAAACCCCCAAAAGACTCTCAAGACTCTGAAACCATGCATTTGTCTCGTAATTGCGTAGCGATTTAAATCGCAGTTGTAGATCATCTAGTAGCCGTAACAAGCTCCAGCACAGATCACAACCTTGGTGATTAGACGACGTCGGTGGTGCCATTGCTGCTGCTGCTGCTGCGGATATGGCCGTGATGCGTCTCCGGGAGCTCATCAGCCGAACCCTGAAGAACAGTCACAAGCATCTGCTCGAAGCCGTCATCCAGCTGCCTTCTGGTCAAGTGGCCTTTCGAGACCAGAAACGTAAGTGCTTCCCAGATCCACTGCTGGCCATTGAATTCGAGATTGTGGTTTTCGATGGGTACGTCGGTGAGGAGCTTGACCAACTCGCTGGCGGATAATTTGTCCGTCCTGCCAATGTAAATGAGCGGGAGGGCACTTCCGGTGCAGGTCGGATCCCAGTCTCTCTTGATCTCGAACTGGTAGTTGTGGATGGCGCGCTTCACGTGGAAATAATACTGGGATCCTCTTTCGCACGGAACGAACCAGAGGCCAATTCGTCGCTGGTGAGACGTGTCTTGGATGCTTCCGCGATGAACCACGATATGCATTTGGAACTCTTGCTGGTGCCTGTCCATTTTTAAAGCATAGGCGGAGGCAGGTGTGCCGATGGATGGACAAAGGAGGGAGAGTGACGAGAGCAGAGCAGGCAAGAAGCAAAGGGAGAAGTAAAAGGCGCGGGTGAGATAGAGAGTGAGAGGAAGAGAGACAAAGTGGATGGAGAGGAAGAGAGAGGAGGAGAGGGACAGGAGAAGGAGAGAGACACACACAGAACGGGGACGGACGCAGAGGAAAAGAGCCTGGCTCGCGGATTGAACAAAAAAAAAAATAGATGCTGCTGGCGAAGCTTGTTAGCGACCGGAGAGGGGGGGGGAAATCGGCTATATGTATATGCACATGAGGGAATTGAAGATGGACGCGATGCCGACTTTATTTTTAGTTTTTGTTTGTGGATTCTGATTGAGAAGGGTGGCAGTGATGGTAGCCGCCTGGGAGTATCGGTTTTGTCAGGAGCAGCTAATGCAGAGTATCATAGGGACTCAGGGCTTCATATCGTTGGCAGCATGGAGATTCGGCAATAGTTGGTTGGTGATAATATTTCCCCTACACGATGTTCGACGTTGGGAAGCTTGTTTGCCCTTTGGACATGACATTGTGCCACAGGATTGAGGGCATTCAAGCTCATTGAGGCTGGTGTCTTCCGGCGTGGTGCATCGCGTGTGTCCGTGTGTGTGTGTGTGTGTGTGAGTGTGCCCGTGTGTACGACCTTTATCGGTTTGTCTAGGAGGCTTTGATGAGACAAGTCATGCGCCACGTGGGCCGCATATGGACGCAGGCATCAAAGATGATATTGAAAAGCATATACGATACAACATGTTGCGGTGTTTGGATGGGAGGGGGGCCCTATTGGGGCGGCACATATTAGAGCATCAACGTGAGATGACGCTTGCTTGCCCAAGCCATAGACAGAGGGGCCGTTGATGAGCTTGGGAGACGGGCGGTGAAATATCTGGTATAATGTCCCATCACTACATGGCCTGACGAAAAGCATGAAATGGAGGCGTCCTTTGACGATGATGCATCGATGGTTGATACCCAAGTACAAGTGCGTGCATCGTCATGTTTGAATCCTCGCGCAGTCCTCGAGCAGCTAGATGGCTTTCCAAGTACCAAGTAATTACGCTCAACGTACTCCGTATTTCTTGACGAGCCAGGTCCACGACTGCCTCAGGCAGATACATAAGTAGTAAGCATCGGATCGGTAGGTATTTGGAGGCAGTAGGCAATTAGTGTCTGGTCTTTTTTTCGTCGTCTTCCTCTCGAATAGAGACAGAGAGAAGCTTACGGGGCAGTGATGTATCGATATGACTCTATGTACATACATACCTTGGGTACCTAGACCTAGGAAGTAGGTAACTACCTACCCTAGGTGCTAGGTAGGCGGAGGAATGGGCACAATGCAGGTTTTGCCCGGAAAATAAAGCATCATCATGGCAATAGTGGTCAATGGTCATAATCACAACAGACACGCCTTGAGTAGACGCATCAGTCGACCGGATGTGGCGCGGCCGAGCCGTCAACTCGGGGTCGAAACGCCGCCATCAACTCGCAACATCTGTTCGAAGCGGTTTCAATATTAAAACTTGTAAGTACTAGACTTATGATCCGGAATACGCCCTAGTTATGGCGGGCTTCTGAACGGGTATGGCCAAGCGGCTCCTGCCGCTGTCATTGGGCCCGCGCCTCCACTGGAGGGGTCAACTGTGGGTTTCCCAAGGGTCGATGTCAAGACTGGTCTGGTCCAGATGTCCTAAGCACGAGCCCTCCCCTCAGCCCGCCCCTCTGGGCGGTTGGGCGACCACATGAACCATCACCTGTTTAGCTTGAACTAGGCGCTATGCCGCATCACGGCAGGCAGCTGTGACAATCATCGGCATCATCACCAACCAACACCATCCATCACCACCCGTTTCCGACCCAGGCCCCCAGCATCGACAATCTTCTCCACTTGGTCCGTCCCGCCATCCAAGCCACTCCCGAGCGACTGCGAACTACAAGTCGTGAACTCGTGCGTCCGCCTCGCGTCCCTACCGAGTACTGCAGCACTTGACTACCTCCTTTGTTCGTTCCCAACTCCACGCCCTCGTCATCGACTTTTCAAGCTGGACCATGTGAGCTCTCGGCGGCAACTTCCAACGTCGTGGCCCATAGCCTAACCGAGTGAGCAAATCGAGTAACCCCCCATCCATGCGTCAATCCATCCATACTTCCTCGAGTTCCTGAATGTTTACACTGGCCAGGTCGTGGAACACTGGCAAGACGACAGAACCTATGTTGCATCTTGCGAGAAGCCACCTACCATACCGGCCGTGTGAAAATCTTTGGCTCTTCGTTCGCCCTGGACTCCACGTCTCTTTGCAGAGCACCAAGTGCGACTGTCAAGGTTTCCGTCTTCCCCGGTAGGCTTGGTCTCTATGTATAAGAGACGCCGTCTTCACCCCGCCGCAAAAAAACTATAGAGGTGACGAGCCAACAAACACAGCCGTAGGCTGACATGACACGACTGGTGAGACGAAAAGTGAGCCTCGGCCGGTCTGTTCCTTTTCTGCAACCACTGGCAGATTTTCTTGGCAGGGCCCAGACTCGGCTTTGTGATCAGAACAGCCAAAAATGGCAATACAATCCAATATCACATGTAGTCCACGATCCATATTTGCC